TAAAACTCCCTTCCCTCTCTTGCATCGAGGAGTCCTGGCAATTCTTCGGCATCTCATACGGTGGTTACTTTTGGTTCCCGCGAGGTCGCTTTGCGACTTGGCAAAGAGCGGCGTTTGAACGACACCGCGGGCCGAGGGTGGCACCTGAGATCCAGCTTTGCCGGTCAACACGGTGACCCCCACCCCCGACTCCTGTACGAGTCCAGGCTCAAGACCTCCCTGACTTCTTTCCCTCTGTCTCTCTCTCTCTAAATATTTCTCCCACCCCCCCCCCCCCCGGGTTTCTTCTTCTCCGTGTGGCTGATGTTGTACGGTGAACTTCTTTTGCACCGTACGCAGCCAACCGCGCTAATCGGAGGTGCGGCCGGGGGAGGACGGCCAACAAACTAAACACGAAAAGCAGTTTCTAAACAAATGCGTTTTCAATCTTGTTGATTTTAAAGGGCACAGCTCCCAGTGGCTTCCGAATCTCGGAAGAGCGCGTTCCAGACGGCCGCAGGAGCGCATCTGACAGCGCGCGACATTGACGGAGAGCAACAGCTGTCATTGTACATCGAGATGGTTGAGCCAGGTACTTGCGTCAGCAGAAGCGGAGTAGGTGCATCGCCGTGATGCCTCCTTCGTGTTTGTGAATCTGGCACTGAATCGCAATATGTTCCATAGCTCTGCTCTGGGTGACCCGCAGTCGCACAGCGTAGAGTAATTTTTTTTAAATCCTTTATATTAAGTTCGCTTGCTTGCGTGCTTGCGTGCTTGCTTGCTTGCGTGCTTGCTTGCTTGCTTACGACCGTGCAAATCTTTCGGTCGTTTTTTAACCCACTTCTCGTGATCCAATTGAGCTGACATTTTGCACACAGACTCGTTGTACGTGACAATTAATTTTCGTGAAAAAAATGCCTAAATGTTACACTGTTTAGGGGAAAAAATGTAAATATTTAATTACCAATTGCTTAATGCTGGCAGACAATCATCTGACCCATAGGTGGCAGCCATCTCAAGCCAGAGGACGAGAGGACTCTAGCCGCCACGCATATAAAGGCTTTAGAAGTGAAAAAATTTGTTTTTACGGGTTAATTTTTTAATTCTCCATTTATACATCATCAGGCATCAGCTGCTGCCATGGGTTTGCTTGCGGTTTCGCGTCGTAGGCCCACGAGCTTCGCAGAAGGTTGAAGTCAGTGGGAGGTCTGCGTCTGGAATCACCAGCGTGGTGAAATATGGTCACACCACCACACCCCCCCGTCTAATGCCGTTTCTCTTCTCGCACCACGGGTGACCCCCGCTGTTTGCTCACCTCATTGAGAGGCAGTTATGAACCATTTAATTCCTTGCACGAGCTCCTTTCCGAGTTAACTGACCTCCCGTAAAATTCGCGGTAACTGTGGATACAAAATCTGGTGGCGGGGTGGGTGGTGGGTGGTGGGTGGATGGTGGGTGGTGGGTGAGGGGTGGGTGGGTGGTGAGGGGTGGGTGAGAGGTGGGTGAGAGGTGGGTGGGTGGGTGGGTGGTGAGGGGTGGGTGGTGGGTGAGAGGTGGGTGGGTGGTGGGTGGGTGAGGGGTGGCTTGCCGCTACTGCTGCGAGCAGCAGCGCTTCGGCGTCGTGAGCTCCCCGCTTGGCGGAGCGCCCACGCACCTGGCCGAGAGATGTTTTCGCGAGGTTTTACTCCGTGCCTCTGTGACAACAAAAAAAATTGACTGATCCAAGCGGCACACGGCGTTTCAATGCAGTCTGCTTGTCGTGTGTGTGTGTGCGCGCGGTGCTGACTAGACCGGAAAGGTCTGTGGTAAAGGGTTGCCCAAAGTGCGGAACGCGCTGTGAGATTTAACGATGACACGCAAAGTGGGTGCAGCATGTACGTACTACGTGTATGTTGAACTTCGTTCGCACGGTACGTATCCAATCGTGATAATCGGAGGTACGGGGGAAGGACAACAAACTGAACACAAAGCGCAGTTCTAAATAAATGAGTTTTCAATCGAGATGCATTTTAAAGTGGATAGCTCCAGTGGCTTCTGAATATCAGAAGAGCGTTCCAGACGGCCGCAGAAGTGCATCTGAAAGCGCGCGATGCAGAGACCGTCTTTGTTCGATGGCCAGCCAGCAGCTGCTTTCATGTACAAATAGCTCTCAGCTTTATCAAGACCTCCAGCTCAAAAGAGCTGAACGCTTGGGCATTTATGTCGTTGAAAAACCACCAGCTCGTGTAACAATTGCAACAATATGTACCAGTGAAGGATTCATCAGTACAGTCAGTACACCAGTCATCAATGTTCACTGCTGCCACCATGCCTCTGGGAGCCCCGTTTACGGCGAGGGCTGTAACCCTCACACAATGGAGACCAATTAGCACTTGCCTGGAGGCAACAATTCCAATATGCAGATGACGACGAAAAGCCATCACGACAGAAGAAATTAGTGCAGCCTGGAAAACAGATTTTTTTTTTTTTTAAACGCTCTGAATTGTGTGCGCTGCATGTACCAAAAAAACAAGCTATCAGCCTCAATCAAACCTACAACGAGCTCGAAGGAAATCGCTGGCTTCATCCACGATCCTTGTCGTCAGCCGTACGCGCCCCGGCAGTCCTCGTCGTCTTGATGTGACAGGCGTCACCAACGCGTCGCCGCGGTGGTGTTCCGTGCGCACATCTTGTACGCGGTGCAGCCTTGTACTCGTACACTGCGGGCCAGAGCCGCATCTCTTGGCGATTTTCCCAATCGTTCGGTAATGGAGACATTGGCTCGTTTCTGCCAGAAATCTAATGGGATGGAACATTTGCCAGCACGCGCGCGTGTGTGTGGCGTGTTTGTGTGCATTGCATGCAGCACACTGTTTCGCGGTTACAAATACTACGCACAATGCAACACTGCATGTCGGTACGCATGCCTGTCCTGCATATGTAAACAGAATACTGTTGTATTGTCGTACAATACATCACATGGCTGTATTGTATGCCATGCACCATTGTGCTTATCACCAAATCGCCCAGAAGAATGCACCCGTTCACATCCCTTCCCAGATGCTAAGCAGGAGTAAGCCTGCATGTAACGCTTGAATGGGAGACAGCCGTGCAGGTGTTATAAGCAGCGGATAAACATCATTGGCAGCAGAGGGGAAGGGCAGCAAATTTGTTTTCGCGCTGGACTTTTATGAATGTGTTCCCTGTGTTGGCCAACTCTCAATGACCCACGTGGTGGCCACGTGGTCACAGATCTCCCACGACCCGCGTGGCCGTTGGGAGGCCTCCATCCAGCAGTGGACTCACTGAAGACGTGTACATGAGCAATACAGGAAAACTGTTATACGTTCCGTGTACCTATGCGCTTGCATACTGAGACTATGTTGTATTTTTGTTTTCAAACCGCATGTCCCATTTACACTCGCTCTGTTGATGACTTTCAAGACACACGTGTCAACAAAGCCCAGTGCCTGTGAGAATCCATTGATTCAATCGTCACTTTGGTCACGTCACATCCATAGAGTACGCGTATGCACTGCGTAGGGGTATGTGCTTTGTGTGGTATGTGCTTTGTGGGGAATGGCAGCACAAAGCCAGTGACCTGCGTTTAAAATTTTGATTTAAAGCTTTCGTGACTGCAGGGATTCATATTCTTGGTTATTTCGGTAAAGTCACGTAGAAGGGAAATAATAAAATAATAAAAATATAAAAAATAAAAATTCTCACGTTTCAACTGCAACACAAGCAATCATCATCAGGTGTGCAATCCACAGCAAGAAAATTTGAAAAAAGTGGCGGTTTTTCGTTTTGTTTCATACTCCGTGGATAACGTCTGTGGCCAGAGATGAACCTGTCCTGAGCCTACCCAAGGTCGACTCAGCCTCAAATGACGACAGGGTGTTAACATCAGCACTGGGGAAACATAGGGAATGGGGGTGTTTTACCAGTTGCAACCCTTTGTGTCTGGACTTAATAGGTGCTTACTGATAGAACTTGTCTCCGTGCCCCATAAGGTCAATGGGGGGATTGCTCGTCTTAATATGCAGTACAGTGCAGCAAAGGTGTAGTGTCATCCAGTTATTAGATACCCGACTCAGATCATATGAAGACGAGAAAACATTGTTTTCCAAAGTCTCTAACATGTCCCCTACTGTTCTCATTACACCGACTTCGAAATAACGATCATGCTTTGGTTTTTATTCAAAGCTTCGTCGTTCATGCAAATTGCATCGTTGGGGAATCGCAGGCAAATCATAAGGCAGCAGCAAGGAGTGAACAGGCGTTACCCCCCCCCCCCCCCATCCTCATTGATGTCGAGTGGCTTAAGATTTTAAAGGCACTATATGAGCTGTAATTATTATTAATCTCACTATGAGATCTCTTTTACCAGTGGCAAAATATAGTAGTAGGTTTTTACCCTTTTAAACTGGTACAAAACTGACACCTTTATTCAAGGCATCATGTTTGCAATAACCACAACACAAGTAGTCAAAAAAGCAAACAAAAATAAGCAACTCTGATAATGATAATGATATGCACTGTCCTTGAAGTTGATTGGTCCACACCCGTGACGGCTTTCTTTAGAGCCTAGTCCCCATTGGTGTTGGACCAGATGACACCAGAAGGCGTACAACTCAAACACAGTGCAATATCAGAGTATTGAGAGCTCGGGGTAAGCATTTACACTATGAGATATCTTACCAGTGGCAAAATATAATAGTAGGTTTTTACCCTTTTGTACCAGTTTAAAAGGGTAAAAACCTACTACTATTATTAATCTCATCAATATTTACAAGTTGTTCAGGATCTCCTCCTTTTCCTCTCAGAGTCGATGCCCACTACAAAACATTGTTGGGTACTAAAACAACCTCAAATTAACAGCAACAAAAACTCACTCGTGTGATGTAATTAGCGGAATTCAACTTGTGACAAGCGGAAACGTGACAGAATAATCGGCGTGACATCAGCCAAATATCATTTGTCAATTTGTGCAATAAGGCAACTCTTTGGCCAGACTGGACGAGAAAAATAGCCCTCGAGAAACAAATAAGCACGTAGTGTTTTTATTTATTTTTAAACGCAAACCCCCCTCCCCGTTCATTCACTGCGCACGAACACGTGACCAATCAAACACGAGTCAAGCATAGTAAGCGGCAGAGCAAAACGTAACGATTCGACAAAGAACAATAATTTACTAGTACATCTCGCGCCACGGCAAACGTATAATAATATGAAAGCTAGTGACGACGCTTACAAACTGTGTTTAAAAAATTACATTCAAGGAACACACTTGCAGGCGATGAAAACTACTTGGTCATTATCGCACAATCGCATTAACACGTGGGTATATCGCGTGTGATTTTTGAAGGCACTGCATTAGCTGGAGGAGTGCCTTCATGCTGTCACTTATAACTGTGCATACTTAACGAGGCAGCGCCCGTGTCTTTTGTTGATTCTTCAAATCAACGATGTGAATCACTGATTGGCAATCACCAGCATGAATAATCTAACATATATTAGCAGTCGCTGGCAGATGCAGCATATTTTTTTCATTTAAATGTAATCATTATTCTGCACCTCTCATATATCCAGATGAAATACGTGACTTTTAATATTTAAAACTGGCATGTTTAAAATATTTCGGGTGCGTACTCTTTCATGTTTGACATTTTACACACGTACTTATTGATGTTTCTCTTGTAGTTCACAATTTAGCTCTTTGAGCTCATATTTTCGTCTAGCTAAAATAGTTTTGCGCCACGGCAGCAAAGAGATGGACTCTCGCTCACCTGGTACGCAGGTCATAGGCTCTGACCTATGACCCTAATCCCGACCCGACACCTGGATATTTGGACTGTGCATGTTCTCCCCGTGACTCTCCCCGTGGTCATGTGGATTTTTCTCCGGGTCCTCCAGTTTTGCCCTCCACATTTAGAAACACGAGTACAAATGATATGGCTGCGACTATCAATTCCCACATATGATATTTAAATAAATAATTCGCCTATCCCAGTGGGCTCTTGCCTCGTCAAATAGGGGACACCTAATAGGATTTTCAAATATCTTCAGTGGGACCACACATGAACACACACACCTCAGCCACATCTGTCGGTCACTGCGAGTGGGACCACACATGAACACACACACCTCAGCCACATCTGTCGGTCACTGCGAGACGCCCTTGCAGCGACAAAAGTGACCGAGCACGCTAAAATTGAAACCACAAAAGAGTTGTCAGGTCGAAAATATTCCCCTGCAGTACCCAATCTGTGCCGCCAAGATACCGTTACAGGGCACGCGTGGCTGCGGGCCGCACGAAACAAAGTCGCCCACGGAGCCACGTGGTTCACCGCCGTTGTTGTAAAATAACGACCTGGCCTCAAAAGCGATCGATCCCAAGCTGTGCGCGCCGCACAGATCTCGCGACGCTGCCACGCCCTCACAGCAGATACTCCTGCTCGTCCACGAGCCGCCCCGCTCGCAGCGATTCCGTAGCCCACTCCGCGCGCACAATGCGGAACAGCTTGCCCGCGAGCCCGCGGCGCGCCGCCTTGATCCGCCCGAGGCGCCCGGCGTCGTCCGCCAGCGACAGCACGTGCGTCACGGCGACGCCGGCGGCGGGCGAGGAGGCGAGCACGGCTCCCCGCGCCCGCAGCTGCAGCCCCAGCAGCTCCAGGCTGCAGTTGGCGAGGGCTGTCGAGGGGTCGCCCACCACCGTGCACATGTCCAGGTAAAAGACGCAGCGGCGAAACAGCACCGCTGGATGCCCGGCCCAGCCGTACCTGCGATCGTTCATTCGTGAAGACACAAGCCAAGGTTCAGGCTCTCATTGGCCGTTGTGGTTGGTTCAGGTCCTGATTAGACAGTGCACTGTGGGTAGGGTTTGGTTGGAGGATTTTTCATGTGCTAGCAGGTCACGTGACGTCGCATGTCGTGTGTGCAATGTCGGGACGTCACGTGGCGACATGACTGTCATATCGTCCATACACATGACCGCGAAATCCGGTGTCCCTCATCTCAACAATCTCTTGTTTACCTCTCATCATCTCAGCATCTCTTGTCTACAGCTCTCACTTGCCTATCTCACTTGAATCTCTTCATGTCTCAGTGGGCTATATCTTTCAGTAGGCCGCTTCAACAGCCTTTGAAGGCCTTTGAAGGGTCAAATCTAGCGAGTCGGTTGCCCGATGAAAATCCCCGAGCCAACGCAGGACTCTTGTTGGCAGCGTGCTATTTCTCCCCGGAACACCGGGAACAGCCCCCCCCCCCCCTCTCTCTCGATGGCCTTTCCACCGCTGCCTTTCGCACGGCACTCACCTCTCCTCGATGTCGGCGATGGTGCTTGCCGGCACCGGTTTCCCCGTCCCGCGCTCCGCCATGCGGCCGAACACCTCGCGCAGCTGCGGCTCGTCCGTCAGGGAGAAGTAGCTGTCACCATGCTCGTCAAACTCCTTGGTGTACTCCTGCTTTGTCTCCTCCGTCAGGTGCACCACGTGGCGCGGCTGCCACGGCACAAGCGAGCCCCTCTCCAGGCACTCCACAAGCCAGCCCGCTGAGCGAGTGTGCACGGCAGAAGCGACAATCAGCGAGCGGGTCGAGCCCATATTTCCACGACCACTGTGGACACCGTCAGCCCAGGAACAGTGCCCACTCCTGGCCCAGGAATGGCCCAGTACTGGCCCAGTATTGACTGTGGAATGGCTCATTACTGGCCCAGGTATGGCCCATTATTGGCCCAGGAATGGCCCTATACTAGCCCAGTACCGGCCCAGGAATGGCCCAGTACTGGCCCAGTATTGGCTGGGGAATGGCCCATTACTGGCCCAGGAATGGTCCGTTATTGACCCAGGAATGGCCCAGGAATTGCCCAGTACTGGCTCAGGAATGGCCCGTTAATGGCCCAGGAAGGGCCCATTACTGGTCCAAGAATGGCTCATTACTGGCCCAGGAACAGTGCCGGAGCACAGATCTGTGTACCCCACACTCCACGAGTCATGAAGCTCCATGGCCTCAGCAAATTCTTGCTACCTCCAGCGAACCGAGTTCAATACCCAGCCATGGCCAACATCAGTGGCAAGTGATATCTGAACTGTACTTAGACAGTCTCTTTACCAATCTGCACTGGCCAGGTTGGGGAAGTGTGGGCAAACAATTCCCATTACTGAAGTAGTGTTGAGAGGCTTTGATAATTATCCAAGCAAGCAGTGGATTAATAAATCACTACAAATTATGGTGCAAAAATTATGATACAAAAGTTATAATACAGCTGAAAATTAAACCGACGCGCGCGCTAAAAGTATTTTTATTATTTGTTCACCCAAAGATAATCGGGCATGAAGTATGATCCACCCTCCCCTGCCCAAAGTTGCTGGATTCACAGATGCACACCACCGCACTTAATAAAACCAGTTTCGTAAATCACAAGTGTGGTGAATAAATCTACGTATAAAGGTTATTGCCTGTGCAGATGTGTTTAAAGTTCTATATACAGCACCACTGTGTAACATCTGCCAACCTTGCCACTTAACCTAGTGGGCCACCGTATAAACGAGTTACCAGCAGGAGTGGTGATAGATGACCCACAGCGAGTACACATACAGCCCTTTGCACTGCCCTCTGCTGCCCAACACATAGCACTCAAAGCCAGTGTATACACTGTGGTCACCTAAATACAACCGCTATCCCAGTCTCAAGCCTGCTCAGCTTCTGAGATCTGATGAAATCTGACAAATTGGGTGATTTGGTAATCGGCACACAACATGAAGGTTGTCAAAATAACCATCGACAAACATATCGCGGAAAGAAAACCCCCCGAGGGTCACAATTCCACATTTTAGTTTCGGAAGATTCAGCGCACGAGCATCTGGCTCCGACGAGCCTTCAGGAAGGGACGATGTGGTAATTGAGCAATTGTGGCTAATTTTACCGAATTTGGTTTCCAGCCGCAGACAAACAGTGGCCCCACTGTCGTGGCACAATGTCGGAGCATCGCTTACATCCGCGCAAATTATCGGACGCCACTCTCGCTCGATAACAACCCTGTGGAGGCATTGTCGACGGGCCGACGGGTTGGATGCGAGCCAGAGGGAATCCTGGATGGAAAGGTGAGCACACATCGAGCACTGCGAGGCCATCAGCCCCCACTCCAGTCTTTGTTTACTGTAAAAGTAAAAATCCCGAGACTTAAATGGGATATTTAATGTCACGTGCACCCACACAATAATGAACGTACACGCGGGATTGACAATCGCACAATGTCCCCCAATTTTTGGTCAATGCTGGTATGACACGGTTTGTCTCGCCAACAAAAGAGTTACGCGAAACAAAATCAATGGAGGATGCGGTGAAGAATGATACGCACAATCTTCACTGAAAAGAGGAGTATTGACATTAAACTTGCTGACAAACGTGAAACTATAAACTGTAAGCTTCCTCCCAGTTGCTTTGCTTTCTAAACATCTTGGCCACCATAGCCACCACTTGGCATTTTGATTGTGATCTTCCTTAAAATAAGCAACAAGTTATCTCAATGATATCTTTCTAGTTTAGAATGAAGGTTATCGAATGCCCTACCTGCCTATCTCTATCTACAGACTGACCTATCGGGCTATTTATATCCTATATAGATAGCCCAGTGAACCAATAGATAACAATTTGTATAGCCAGGTGAGATATCCATCTATGTTGTACATCTTTGCTGTGGCTGTCTCCCATATGTGTACATCTACAGCCCTTTGTCAATCCACTGCTGAACGCGGGCCTCGCCATGTTGTGCCGGATGTGGAGGTTATCTGACCATACTTCGCCACACTGGTCAGCGCAGGTCGGTGATGTGGCAGCAGAAAAGTAATGTACAAGTATGGATTGTGCTGCACTGCCCCCAATGTATCCACTTGTGTACAGAATTAACATTGTCATTGAAAATGCCAACTCAACAAATTGAAAGTAGAGCTGGGAGATTCCAGTGGGGATCAGCTTTGATTCCTACAATTCCACTGGAGTCTATTCCTTCCGGAATCACTCTTCCTCCATGTGGCGAATCGAATGTTAAAATCCCCATTCAACAGAATACGGATCCAACATTAATTCCACTGTGGAAGACCGATGCTCTACAATGAGATTATAATTGATCTTAATTATAATATAAGCTTTGATTAGCTTTAAAATGCATTGCCTTGGGCACAGTGGGTTTTTTTTGTTTGAAACTAAATGCCTTTCATTTATTTTATCCCAAGTAATGGACAATCATGGAAATTTAATTGTATCGAATGCGCTTTGAGACGCCTTTAGTGATGTGCAGTGTGCTATAGAAATAACTCACGATTAAACAATTACATGATTATAATTTGTAGTATAATCTCATTGTAGGACGTGACTTAAATTATATTGGGATTTGATTGTGTCGCGAGCTTAAATAAGCTTCAGCTCTCATATCTATGAACGGATACTACGTCTTCTTCATAGATCTGTCTCTCCACGTGAAACATAAAAAGTGTTTTTTCTTACACAATTCATCACGGTCTTCTGGGAATGCATAACTTCAGCAGCATTGATTCCGTGCAAGCAAAAAATCGGTTTAGGCAAATTACTTTTAAAATCCATTCGTAGTAAAATTAAGTTACGGAAACATCAACATTGATTTGGGGTGATTATTGCACAGATATGTAAACAATGCGGCGCAATGCTAGCGCTCCTTGTGTCTCATAGCAAAACAGGCTTGGGTTCGATTTTCAACTCGAGTGCCTCTCTGTGCGGAGTTTGTGTGTTCTCCCTCTGTTCTTTAGAGGTTTCCTCTGGATTCTCTAGTTTCCTCCCTTGGCTAAAAAAAAACAATCTAACTGGTACTGGCCACAAACATCCCAATGCTACCTGTAAATCACTCAATGAGATTACACTTATAGCAACGTCATCCATCCCCTACTACAGGACCCTACTGAAAAGGGATCTTGAGACTCGGCGAGGCTTTCCTGGGTAAACAAGCAGAATCATACAACACGTCACGTAGATAAAATGACAAAGACCCCCGTATAGCCTATAACAGACTGTTGCGTAAAGTGCTGTTAGCGAGTAGCACCTATGAATGCCGGCACGGCACACGAGGGGGGTGGGTGACTTGCACCACGCTCGGCCACCTTTGTCTCCCAAGTGGCGATGTTTACACACCGCACCGGGTACTCATTTGAGGCTGAGTCGTCCTAGGGGAGGCCCAGGACTGGTTCAGACACTCGTCGCTGGTGTTGGCCGTGAGCGGAAATCGAACTTGGGTCGCTGGGTTCGTCGCGCAGCGCGCTAACCGCTACACTAACACTCACCACACACAACAACCGCCATTTGCCACTAAATGGCGGTGATGTCACCACGGCGCTTGTGCCAGGCTATATGCAACTTGAGGCCACGTGAAATGTCGAATGCCCGCTGGCAGGAGGTCACAGGGCAGACCCAGGTGCCATGGGTCGACTGACTGAGATGACTGAGATGACTGGCCGATGCACCACCTGTGCCCCCTACTCTGCCAACTTGCTGTGTTTTAGCCACCCGGCGCTCCGCTCATTGTTTTGAGCATCGCTCCTCCATCCCCCATTGTTGCTGGAGGGCGACTGCCTCCAACTGCCCAGTAGCGTCCTTCACGAGCCTCCTCCACTGACGCCGATCTTGACACCGCTGGTACCGGTCATCGGCAAGTCCACTCAGCTCCACATACTCCTGTACCACATCACTCCATCTCTTCTCTAGCCCGTGCCGCGCCCGTTTAGCCCCCTCTATTGGCACACACACACGCGCGCATACACACGCATACACACAAACGCACGCACACACGCGCATACACACGCACGCACGTCTACGCGGGTTGCCTCGCGCGGGGCCCCACCTCGGATGACGTCGTGCTTGCCGGCCCCGATGACGTTGCGCACGCGGGCGGTCAGGACGTCCACAAGGACGCAGTAGGTATCCAGGCCCGGGTTCTGTACGATGAAGCCACCGCACTCCGCCACACGCCGCTCCAGCTGAGCCTTCGGGTGTTCCGCCGTTCCGCCCATCACGCACATCTCCACGTCTTGGAAGAGCTCGCTCTTGCGCTCCACCCCAGAAAGGTCCTGCGCTGTGGGTATCAAAACATGACAATTTGGTGGCGTGCAGTGTCTAAATCGCAACCATATTACAAAGACACTACGTAGAAAACATGGGCATTTTTGTTTTATGGTCAGTCATAGAAGGGGGCAGAGAATGGAAGGACATTCCAGACTAAATTGAAAACGCATTCTCAATTTAAAACTCATTTCTTGAGAACTGCTTTTTGTGTTAGTTTGTTACCCATCCCCCGCACCTCCGATTAGCACGGTTGGCTATGTACAGTGCGAAATAAGTTCAACATACAATACATAAACATACGCAACTTACAAATAACACAAGAGAAATGCTGTTGTGGGTTATCGTGTTATTCCAGGAGACATTTGCCTCCATTCACTGCCAAGTGTAGGCACAATTAAGAGATCTTCAGTCACCTCTATAAACTAATGAGCTATGTAGCTCCTTTCAAAAGCAACTTGGCCACAAATGATGGCTCAACGAAGTGGCTTATCACGTGGAAATTTATGGTCGCCAAATACTCTAAACGCACGTTTCTAAATTAGGAGGGGAAAATCAGAGGAACCGGAAAAAAAATCGACACAGCCACGGGGAGAACATGCAAACTTCAAATATCCAGGCATCAGGGTTGGGATAGAACCCACGACCTCTTCCACACGAGGCGAGGTAGTTAACACCTCGCCACCATCGCACCTCTGAACCGCTCCTGCACAGCGATGGTGCGGCGAGACCCCGGGCCGGCAGCGGTGGCCGCAGCGCGACGCCGCCGCTTCTTGTCGCTGTCTCCGTCCCCGTCGGCGGTGGCGGCCGCGTCCACGTGGCGCTTGGTGAGCCTCCCGGCGGCCCGCAGGGCCCGCAGGCCCGTCAGCGTGAGGCACTCGTGCCACGCCTTGTCGTCCCGGATGCGCTCGATGCGCGGGAAGCGCAGAGTGCAGCCGGTGCGGTACTGGTCGCTCGCCACGATCTCCGCCGCCCGCACCTGGGTTGTGTTCACGAAAAATTCTATTACGCTGAAAAATTATACAATCGTCGCTTGCGTGTCAGCTACACTAACTGGCCACTTGAAGGAAACATGAGAATGATTGCGGTGGACCCTTGAGTGTCGGGATCGCCAATCAAGCCGACAGCTTCACGTTGAATTCTGTCAAGTTAATTGAGAAAAGAACTGCATGCTTCATCGCATTAGTCCAACTGCAGCAGAATCTGCTCTCTATAAAATTAATAATTGTTCGGAATTAAAGAGGGCTTGCTATGATTGTGACCCCCCCCGACCCCCCCCCCCCTCCATTACAGACGGACGAGGCAGCGCGAATGCGTCAACGCCATCAACCTCCGTTTGAAAGCGTTCATAACTGCGCCCGCCTCGTTACGGGCACCGTCAACACAAGTGACACCGCCGTCGTAGACTTAATAAGAATGATTTGTCATCGTCATCGTAACCACCGTCGTCACCTTCGGCGCCATCGTATAAACACCACCGTGAACAGCATCGTGACACGGGCGAGGGAATGTGAAGAGGAAGGGGAAGTATCTAGCTAAGAAGTCCGCATGCTGTGTTCCCTTAATTTTCGCCTAACTGGCCAAGTCACCTTTGACCAATCGCCCGGAGAGCGCCCAATCTCCTTACATCTCGGAGTATGATAGTACTGATCAGGGTTGAGCCTGGATAGTGACTAGCTCTGCACGGGAGGAGGCGGGGGGATATGTGGAGACGAGCAGAGGGTAGTGCAGTAAAATCCATCGTTGCAAGTGTTTTGCCTGAAACTTAAAAGCTAAGTAGTGCATTAGGCTCACTTTAGCCCATGCGTGAAATATCACCCTTCTGAGGGGTCATTTTGAGGGGCCTATATTCTAAAATGTCGGTTTTAAAGCTTTTTGTTGCAGTTCTAAGCATAGACTCCATTACATTTGTGTGAAATGTCAGCTTTCTATCCCTTTTAGAACGTAGATAGATTTTACATTAACACTCAGTCAAGATCGTGATTTAGATTAAGCACTTTCAGCAGGGGGCCTCAGATGAAAAAAGAAAAGACTTGTGGTGTAAATGAGCTCTTACAATAAATATACTATCTTGAGGTTCATCGCCACCTACGGAGCACTTGGCATGGTCACACCAGCGTCGCATCCAACGCCCTGACAGACCGCACTGGTCGATATGCGGTCCTGTCTCTGTAGAAGCGGGAGTCGCACTGACGCACGCAGATCATGACCTTACACACGGCAGCAGCCACCAGTGATTGCTTTCCAGTTTGTTCACAGCCTGCACTCCCCCCGCACCTCCGATTAGCACGGTGGGCCACGTAGGGTGCGAAGGAAGTTCAACATGCATACACACGTACTTTCCCGGTCTCAACATTTAAACAGAAAGTGTTGGAAAACTTAACACACAGGTTAAATGTTGACTTAAAGCTTTCGTGACTGCAGGAATTCATATTCTTTGGGTCTTTTGGTATAGTCACGTAGATAGGTTATTTTGTTGTTATTTTCTTTGAACCTATCTTACGTGACTTTTACCGAAAGACCCAAAGAATATTAACACACAAGCTTTAGCCGCCAATATAACGATTCGCAATAGATTTTTAGGTAAGGCCACGTCAAAATCTAAATCTTTATTTCGACTGGAGGAATCTGATGAGCTATGAAGCTTTTTTTCACAGATTTGCTTCGTTACAAACCCTCCACCATCTGTGTCGGGCGGTGGAGGGTCTTAACCATGGTAGAGGGTCTTAATGAATACAAATTTGGCCAGATCATTCTCGACGAAACCCAGAAATCAATTATGAATCGGAAAGTATGAGAATCGGTTTGTCACCCTGAGGCCATGCCAACGTTGTCACCCCACAGTGACCAGGGAGGGGTTGTCCACACAAATTCCTGGGACACAAGGTGGCAACAAACAAGTGGCTATGCAGTTCTGATGATTCCTAGGCAAGGGTGAAGACCGGTATATTTATTGTCCTGCTGCTGCTGCCTAAAATATGGTCACGAAATTGAGTGCCTCGAGTTGCTCTCAACAAGACTGTGCGCACTGAACACGCATTATGGCGACTGTCACGGGACATGCAAGGCGGGAGAAGCAATCCAATGGTCACAGGTGCCCCTTTCTGCTGTGTAGAAATCCCTTCAAGAGGGTATTGCGACTGCTCGAGTTTCTCGTCGTCGACAGAAAAACTTCGAATTTGTCCACAAATCAACACCGACAACGACAAATCGGTAACTTAAAGGCTGCCCACCTGCACGACGACCGCGTTGCACGGCTCCAGGTACACCTCCGGCTTCTCTGTGGCGCACAGGATGCAGCCGGGTGGGTCCTTGCGCCGGTACGGGCGCCAGTGTGGTGCCAGCTTGAGGCCCAGGTCGTAGAGCTCCTGCATGGTGTAGCCCGAGCCGACGCGGCACAGCGTGTGGAACACCGCCGGCTGCTCCCCGTCCTCCGCCACCTCCGCCACGGCGCACAGGAAGTGCGACATCATGCCGCCGCGCCTGCCCTTGCCCCAGTAGCCGCCGACGATCAGCAGGTCCAGCTCGTCCATCAGGTCGCCCATGTACTCGGGCTTGATCTTGTACCAGCCGTAGCCGCGCTTGTCCGGCTTGTAGACGGACGCCGGGTCCTTGATCATGATGCCCTCCTCGCGGCCGTCGATGGCGTCGTTGAGGGCGTCGGCGACGTCGCCGCGCGAGCGGATCTCGCGCTTCTCCACCGCCCGCAGGCGCCCCTCGACGGGCGCGAAGGTCTCGCGCAGGAGCTCGTCACGTCGCCGGAGGGGCTCGCCGGTGAGCCGCTGCCCGTTGAGGAGCAGCACGTCGAAGACGCAGAAGCACGCCTGCAGCGGCGAGTCGGCGTCGCCCCCGAGGTGCTTGACGTCAAAGCGGCCGCCCTTGGTCACGAAGGTGGAGGAGCGCGCGTTGTAGCCCATCATCTCGCCGTCGAGGATCACGCTGGAGACGTGCGGAGCGAAGGCGGCGTGCACGAAGCGCGTGAGCGAGCCCTCGGTCGGGGCGCCGCCGAACTGCGCAGTGTACTCGAAGCCGTTGCGGGAGAAGTACCTTGAGGGATCGGAGGAGCGGAGTGGGGGGAGCATCTCTTTAGGACAGCGCTTGTGGCTCGCTATTCATTCGTTCGTTTACGAGCCCAAACTGCTGTGTTGAACCGTTGTGATGTTCACCATGTTAACGATAAGACGAAGGGAACGCCATATTTTATCGCAGTTGTGCGGTGTAATTAATTAAGGCATGTGATACATTGTGTTAAAGTCGTAGCTTTTAACAAATTGGCAGCCTTTGGAATGTGTTACTACGCACAATGTTTTAAGCATTAATATTACGTTCAACGCAGACTTAACATTTATTCGGTTCGACAATAATTAACTCCCATCAGGTTTACAACAACGACCTCGACCCACAAAGTCTCATTCTGAAAAACAAATTTTCAACCCCTCCCCCGGATTGTCTGTCCCCCCCAATTCAACTAACGTTCTGCTGCGGGCCTTTGTTCGTGTGTACAACAAAAATCTTTTTCATGAGGGTACCCATTTGGGATGTGGGTGGCGCGTTCATGCAGCGGTGAGCGCACGATGACATGAACCTACCACGGTTACCGTGAGTGACCAATGATATCAGAAATGTTCCTCGCACACCCCACCACTCCCTCACCGACTTGGTTATTACCATTGCTGCTGGTTTCTACGATGGCCACACAGGGACCTCAACTTGGTGGTCCAGTTGGCAGAAAGTCCAAACGACTTTCCGAATGAATATCTCCTCTTTGGGCGTTGTTTCACTCAAAGTGACGAATCAACGTGACGGAACGTGCTTGGGGGAGGGGGGGGTGGAGGGGTGGAGGCACCTGTAAACGTCGCCGTCGCGATGCAGCTGCATGCGCTCTCCGTCCAGCTTGGTCTCCACGTAGAAGGGCTGGTGGCTCATGAGCCGCTCCACCCGGTCCATCTTGCCCACGGCGCCCAGCATGGGTTTGAACGCCGAGAAGAGGCGCACCGAGTGCACGTCGTCGCAGCTCGCTGCCGGGTCGTGCAGCTGCCGGCACACCTTGTGCAGGTCCACCGTGACCCCGTAGAGGTCAGCGGCGTCCGCGTGGAACAGGTCCAGGATACTCTGCTGGCTCAGGCCCATCTTCATCTCCTTGAGCACCATGCGGATGAGCCACTTCTGCTCCAGCGCCGACGTGCTGCCCAGCAGCGTCAGCAGGCTCGTCTTCACCCGCTCCTTGCTCTTGGACGCGTTGCCCGAGGCCAGGGCGTCCAGCTGGCGGTTTACGTCCTCCACGGTGAGCCTGCCGCCCGCCGAGCAGCGAGGCCGCAGCACGAAGTAGGCGACCGACGCGAAGTCCCCCGCGTCGCCCCGCTGCGCGCCCCCCACCGGCGCCCGGTAGTTGAGCAGCCGAGCGGCGTCCTTCCCGTCCCGCGGGAGTCCCAAAACCTGGATAGGGTAACAAGAAAGAATGCTTTCTTTGACACCAGCGCTTGCAATCGAGAGGTCGACGGTTTGAATCGAGCTCGCATTTTCACCCATTTTCATAAATCTCTCCCAGGTTCTTCTAGCGTTGCTCGATGCAATGGACATCTCAACTCTATTACAGCTTCAGTAGTGCTGCTTGTTACTGGTCGCTTGACTTTTTGGGCCTTTTGGTCTGTGCTCAGCAACCGTTGTTACTGAACAGACTTCCAGCAAAAGCACCAACAAGAACAGTTGAAGCAACGAAGGCAAGAGGCATGAAATGTGGGTACTGAAGGCGTCATTCAGGAGGCATTGGAATAAAGACTGACTTAGATGCAATAACAACAGCTCATCTGTCAGAGAAACAGGTTGACGACTCAAGGGATGGTGTTCTACGAACCTATTGGCCACCGTAAAAACTATTCGTGGCAAGAAGACAGTGGTTAGCATAGTGGTTAGCGCACTGTGCAAGGAACCTGGCAACCAGAGATCAATTCTCGGTCACTGCAAACATAACTGGTGAGTGGTCTTGGTGAGTAATCTTTAAAAAATAAAATTCACAGGTAAAACATCATAAATAGCAAACTAGAAGAAACAGAAAAGCATTTAAGAAGGATGTAAAACATTTCACGAAGAGACAAGGTGAGTAACATAATTGAATTATATAAAGCAGGTCCAAAAAGGAAATTTATAACAATCAAAGGTTAGATTTGTAGGACCATGAATTTGTTTCGACTGGGAAAATTATAGGTGCAAGAAGCCAGGGAAGACAGCGAATTCAGTACAAAACAAACTGGAACAAATGGATGCAATTGTGAGTATCCAATGCAAAGTTCTTTAGAAATATCATGGGCCGAGCTAAATGGAAGAAGGCCATGACCGCCGATGTGTTTGAGGACATGGCACAGAGAGAGAGAAACAGCAAACATCTTAAAAGCAAACGCAATCTTCGTGCAACAAACAGCGACCGTTGTGGCATCAAGGGGTTCTCAAGTGCCCACAAATTGTTCCCCTTCCACACACCTCCGATGAGCATGGTTGGCTACGTCCGGCGCGAAAGAAGTTCAACATACCATGCGTATCTTCTTGGTTCTTTCGGTAAAGTCACGTAGAATGGAAATAATAAACTAAAAAAAAACATAATAAAATAATTCTCACGACGTTTCGACAGACCTGTTCTTCACCCGAGGACGGCTGCTTGCGTTGTGGCCGAAACGTCGTGAGAATTATTTTATTCTGTTTAATTTTTATTATTTTATTATTTCCATTCTACGTGACTTTACCGAAAGAACCAAGAAGATGAATCCCTGCAGTCACGAAAGCTTTAAATCGAAATATACCATGCGTACATACAAAAAATTCAATCAAGTGACCACCTCGATATAGAGCTTGGCGAGCGCGCTCTCCTTCACGCCGTACGCCACGCGCTCGCGCTCCAACTGGGGCAGCACGAGCCGCATGGCCGGGTAGAAGGAGTCGCTGGTGGTGGTGGTGCTGGTGGTGGTCGTGGTGCTGGTGGTCGTGGTGCTGGTGGTCGTGGTGGTGGTGCCGGCATCACCGCCGTGGTGCAGGGCGTTGTGGAACTTCCTCCAGGCACCGAGGAACTCCTTGAAGTGACGCTCCTTCTCCGGCCGGGCCTTGCTGGACCTTATCTTTTCCAGGGTCTTGCACAGGTCGGCAAAGGGCACCTTGGAGGCCACCGTGATTGACGCTTCGGTCGATGTTGCTGCCGTTGTTGCTGAAGATGCCATGTTGGCCGGTTTGGGATTGCTTTGTTCAGTTATATTGGTATTCGTGTTAGTCTCTTGGACTTTCAAAATGTTTTTGTCATTGGTCGTCTTCAACGGAGCGCAGGTTTCGTGTAAATAAGGCTTGTTTTTGCTCTAGTTAGTTTGCACATTCCCTCCCTGTAGACGGTCTTGGGCTGTGGTCTTCATTTTAACAGAGCTGCTCAGCTCAGTGGGCCTTACCAGCTGGAATAAAGTAAAGAGTCCGAGGTTGTTCTTTAATCACCTGAAAGGAATATCAGACAGGAAAACAAGAGCACAAACATGGGAATTACATTTGTTGGGTTTTTTCTTTCATTTTAATGGCTCTCAGAAGTTGAGGCCAGAAGTCATGTTTCCAGGAAGATCAGAGAGAAAGGCAGAATGAATCAACATCACGGCAAACATCATAACAGCAAATGTGTTCGAGTGAAACAATTTAAAATACAAAGTTTAACATCCAAACAGCAAACATGGGGTGGCAACGAATACCAACAGTTAATCCAAACAGCAAACATCACAACAGTTTTGTTTTGCCAGTGCAACAAACAAAACAGAACAGCAATCATAACAGCAAACAAACAACTCTGAAAATTAATTGTGATAGAAATAAAATGTGCAGTCATTACATTTTACCCTAACGCTGCGCTGTTCACAACGCACGCGTTATCACATCCCAAAGTTTCATTGCAGGGGTGTATCGCCACGTGGTTTACCTCCAAAGCGTCGCGTTGTGAATGATGAATGAACGACTGAATATTGCCCGGTGAATGAGATGCCTCCGTATGTCATCATGGAGTTTAAAACGAACACAACAAAGTCACCGGTCACACCACTTCTGTGAATTCAGAACGGCGAAGGCGCGCTGCTGATGTAGCTCGCGAGCACTTACACTAATTATTGAATTGTCATATGCGATGGAGACAAATACACATGCAGTACGTGAGAAAACGACTGTATTGGATTTAATAAGCTATTTGATGTCTTAACGCAGTAGTCAGCGAGTTAATGATTACTAATGAATAACATACAGTATTCACAGCTTAAACTTGTTTTATTGAGCTTAACGTTTGTTCACTGTACATTTAGCAGTGGTCAACAAAGGCAGAACACGCATTGTTGTTGTTGTTGTGCCCGCACTTTACACGCCAAATCGCACCGACCAGAACGGTGATGTATGACAACAGGCAGTGGATTTCACAAAAGTGCCTCTCGCACGCAACCGCGACACTTTGAGCAATTGGCGATGGGACACGCGTTCCCGACGTTGTCAAAGGCTGCGTTAATTCCGTGAACAATTCAAGCCTCGCATCTTAACGAGGGACGCACAGACACGTGGATGAGATAAGGCTCTTCAGCGCCATTGTTGATGACACGTGTCACGCGTATTCACACATTGCTTACGATTATCATAGCATGCTGTTGTGCGCATTTAAAATTAAGTCAACATTGGACTTACGGGGTTTGGGTCCTTCCTGTTCCGGATCAAGCCAACAACGTCATCTACACCCAACCTCTGTTCTGTGCACTTGGTACAGTCGTGGTGTATTGAATTCATCACACGGTGGGCCTGTCCATGTCGTTCAAGGGGTATGTGGGGACGTGAATAAGTGGGGGGCTGAGTCGTCATTCATTTAGCCTGGTGGTTCAACAAGCCTCGCTCTGCTGATGAGAACACTGAATGTAGAAGCCGGTGCAAGAGTGCTGATGGATATAAACAAAACACACAAAGCCGCTGCTACTGCTGCTGCTGAAAAAAACTCCAAAATAAATATCCGTCTACGTGAAAAATAAGCGATGATTGTGCACGTTCCATCAGTCAGTACGATTTGACAATTGCCGTCTCTTCTTAAAAGGCACGATCGCTTCGGAGAGAATTGGAGCGGTTAAGAGTGGCAATGTATGTCCACTCAGCCCGGGGCACGGAAACGCGCCGAGGGGGGGGGGGGGGGGTCACGTCCCGTGGGGAGACGGAGCGAGATTCTTGGTCCTGTGTGGATTTTATTGCGGGAGATGGTGACGCCTTAGGGTGGGGAGGGCCTTCATCCAGCAGTGGATTGACCCTGGCTGATGATGATGGGTTCATGAGCCCCCTCCAGCCACTGGAGGTCGCTCTATTCCCAGCAATACCGTGATATACCGATGAGTCCTGTATATGAAGGAGATGAGTATTCATTCTAGATTTGAAGCTTTCGTGACTGCAAGGATCCATACTCTTAGGTTTTTTCGGTAAAGTCACGTAGGTGTAAAAAAATGAAATTAAAATTAATAAAAGATTTGTATTATTTTATTAATTTTAATTTAATTTTTTTACCTACGTGACTTTACCGAAAAAACTAAGAGTATTAATTCTAGATTTGAAGCTTTCGTGACTGCAAGGATCCATACTCTTAGGTTTTTTCGGTAAAGTCACGTAGGTAAAAAATAAAAATAATAGAAATAAAATAATAAATCACGACGTTTCGGAGGCAACACAAGTCTCCGTCATCAGGTGGGACCGTCACAGCTAAATTGATGAGTATTGTATGTCGATGTAATTGTTACTCACATCTTCTACGACTGACGCTCATGGATATGTTGTGAAAATGAGCTTCTTAGCTCATCGGATTCCTCCAGAAAATTAGATATTGACCGAATCATCGGAATGCTGCAGCCTGGATCTGTTCTTACATCGGCCACGTTGTGAGCAGCAGAGGGCAGCAGAGCAACATCCATCGTTGTACAATACTTCTATGCGCTCCGCATAGGAAGTCCAGCGTGGTGAAGTATGGTGACACTACCCCTCCAAACCCCGCACGAGCCTTGCGTCTTCTCCAAGCACTGACTTTATACAGATTTTTACCCATTTGTGACCTTTTTGAGCGCGTAACATTTTCGAAGCATTCATATTCAATGAAGCATGGATTTTTACGTATTTTTTAAATGCCAGTTAAAATGTACATTGAACTAAAGTTTTGGAAATATTACATTTGGTTTAGGAGTCCAATTTGCGACACGCATTTACGACGTCTATATAAGGCCAACCGCGGCTCGATTTACGACGTCTATATAAGGCCAACCGCGGCTCGATTTACGACATTTGTATAAGGCCGACCGCGGTTCGATTTACGACGTCTATATAAGGCTAACCGCGGTTCGATTTACGACGTCTATATAAGGCCAACCGCGGCTCGATTTACCACATCTGTATAAGGCTGATCGCGGTTCGATTTACGACGTCTAAGGTCAATTGTGGCTCGATTTAAGTTTATGTAAAGCCACTTCCGACTCGATGTACGACTCAGAACCTTAATTTGCGACCCATTTCCCAACGCGACTCTGAACACATTTGAACAGTTGAACCCCATGCAACATAGCACCCCGGCTCGCGCATAATGTCTGTGATGCAGTCATTCTTAGCCTGTTGATGGTCGGCGATGGGGCAATCGACTCATCTCGACGAGCTGGACTCAACGATGCACCACCACGTGGCGTTCAGGGTTTCGGCGCAATCGCCCTCGCTGCGTTTCGACATGGGGGAGTGTGGCACTGATTTCGGATTGATTGGTACCCAAGAATTGTGTCCCAGAAATAAAATATTTAATTGCCTCGGCCAGTTTGTATTAGTTGGTACCTCGGGGTACCGACATAAGGATCCGTTGACGTTTCTACCGTGTAACATAGTAGTAGGATAAAGTCCCCGTGTTTTCTTCCTTCAAAAGGTCAAGTCACTTCAGCAGAGGAACGAAGAAATCTTGGACAGAAAAGTAATTTAAAAACGTGTATGCAAATGTATTCGTGTCAATTTTGCTAGAAATGTTATATTCACTTAACGCTTCTTGCCCTATAATAATGTATAGCACTGGGGGCTGTTCTCTAACATGGCGTAGCATTCGCAATGGTTAATATGTTGTTTTTACAATAAATACAATTCTTAACGTTATTGTATATTAACGCCTGAGGGTAGTTGAGATTTTACTATTGCATGGGACCTCCTTTGCCAGAACCTTCCAGTTTGGTGTTTTAACATCTTAACACCTGTTTTGTTGCCAGGAAAAAGTGGAAAACCCTATTATACATACAAGTACCTTTAGCGGAGGCTTCGTAGGTTAGAATTGAAGCTAAAAGGCCCCAAATGGCCACACGACCCAGGAGATGAGGGAGGCCCGGAAGGGGCTTATGTCTTCTAGTTAATAAAATCTTTTAAACTGCTGCTGCGTTAAGTGGGGTTAACTTTGACCAGCCCATCTCTACAGACAACACCGTTTGGTCATCGCTTTTCTCACAGCCTATCACCGTGACCCATACAGGAGGAGTGCTGAGTCCATCACCATAGCGTCGTTTTTTTTGTTAAATTTTAACAGTTTTACCCAGGACTTAATTTCAAGCGGATCAGTGACTCGGAAAAAATGTTTGCACCCAGTAGAAGCACATCCAGTAGACGTCATATGCAGTTTTCTCGCCTGCAAGGGCTGTACACGGTCATGGGCGTCATCTGGTCCAACACCAATGGAGACTAGGCTCTAAGAAAAGCTGTCTCGGGTGTGGACCAATCAGCTTCAAGGACAGTGCATATCATTATCAGAGTTGTTTCTTTTTGTTTGCATTTTGACTGCTTGTGTTGTGGTTATTGCAAACATGATCCCTTGTATAAAGGTGTCAGTTTTTGTGCCAGTTGAAAGGGTAAAAACCTATTACTATTACTATGGGCAGGGTTGTTTGCAAGTCCAGCACCACTACTGCCACCTCTGCTCACTGTGCCCGGCTGAGCGAGGTTCCCAGGGTCTGTTTGAAGAATGTGGGTGCTCTTGCTTGCTTTGTGTTTGTTGCTCCCACCCCATGGAATGCTCCATCAGCCACACAGCAGAGTGGAAGGCTTGTCCCTTGTCCGTGGACATTCTGAAATCTGCACGGGGCCCACACCTTATTACCCTCCCCGTTCCGCGAGTCGAGTTTTAACACGCGCTGGTATAGCTGCCAGATCTTCAACGTGTTTTACGTTTTATTTTGAGTACAAGCGCTTTTAAAAACACTTTGTACATTAAGCTTTTTGGAAATGAAAAATGATTTATAACTTCAACGATAGAACCATAGACAAGCAGGAAGGCAGTCATGCGATGAGCCGGCACCAACAATCGCCCAAGCTCTGCAGCCCTCTATATATTAAGGTATTAATTCTAGATTTGAAGCTTTCGTGACTGCAAAGATTCATATTCTTTGTTTTTTTCGGTAAAGTCACGTAGATAAAACACTAAAAAAACCAAAGAATATGAAGGTATTGTCAGCCAATTCATGAACGTTTACATGCGAAAGAAATCGGAACGCCCGGAGAAACCCCACACGTGTAAAAAGGAAACATGAATTTCCATGCAAGACGGAACAGGTGAGAGTCCACATTTTTCCTCCATCGCCTTCTCCTGGCGAGCCACGGCATGGCAACCGCGACGCACAGGAAAGGAGTTTCACAATACAGGACGTTTCAAAAAGATGAACCCAGTTTCAGAGATATAGCGATTTCAAATCGGGTCCATATTTTTTAAACACCCTGCATTTGTAGATCCACTAACCCTCGCTGTAGGCGGCAGTTCTCGACTCCAGGCCACGTGCATAGCCACCACCGCCCGGCGGTGATTGATGGGTGCAGCTACAAATCGTGTGCCAACTACTCCCAGTGTATTCAAGCGACTCGGAAATTATTCAGTGAGACCTTAAACCCCGGTTATCCCTTCAGCATTCCAGATCTTATTAAGTTTTTCAAATGCCGCTGCGGGTTAGTCTTTTTAACTTCATCCACACGATTTCCCCTCTTGATATATCCGGCCTCCTAGGTATACAAATGTATCTACTTGCTCCAGGTTGTAATCTCCAATTCACATTTTAAGTTCTTCCTCCTGTCTTCCATCTGTCATCGCATATTCTTTTTTTATGTTGATCTTCAGCCCATCAGTTTTTGTTTTCCTTGTCCCTTCTACTTGTCAGCGAAAAGTTCACCCCACTCACCACATTCATATCCTACCCTGTAAGGTTATCTCTTGGCGGCGCAGTCGACAGCGAATCGCGCGCGCAGGATGTTTTCTTTGCTGCAATGTTCATGTTGATTTTGCACTAAACCATTTTTCGATTTGTGTGTGTGTGTGTGCGTGTCCAGCTGCAATGTCTCTATTTTCCTATGCGTTGAACCTAGGTCCCTCCCTTGATAACAAGGCTTGTGTATCAATGCCCAATAGAGAATCTCACTTAGCAGGGCTTGGCCTGGTTAGTACTAGTGAATGGTTTAGGGCTTTACAGGTGTTGTAGGCATGTGGCTGCAAGATGTCACAAGACGGGTTTTGTTTTGTATGCGATTTGTTGTGCTGGTTGTACCATTATGTTGATGCACGGCCATGACTTTGGAACTTGACCCTGCAGCTGTTGTTTTTGGATGTTTTTGTTCTTGTTCATGTGCTGTAAGCAGGTTTCTGTAACCCGATATCCATCTAAAATTAGCATTTTAGATTGTCCGTGCCAACAATAAACTCAAACCTAAAGGAGATGGCAGTGGTGGGTATCGCCCCCTCCGTATTCTGCAGAGTTGTCTCCAGGTTCTCCAACTCAATGCCAAAGTCATTCGTAGAATTGGCAAAACCCAATGCAGGACCAATCTTTAAAAAAACAGTCTTGAGAAAAACATCTTGATTTAAAGCTTTCGTGACTGCAGGAATTCATACTCTTTGGGTCTTTCAGTAAAGTCACGAGTAAGAGTCTTGAGACTCGATGCTTTTCTGGTAAAATAATAAGTGGCATATTCATAGTATACTTCGTGAACGTTAGCAACTGGCTAGCGTACTGCCGAACAGACCATCACTCCACAAAACACACAGCACAAGAGTTATGGTTCAAGGGTCTAAATGGTAGCCTGTATTGCATGACAATTGAAATCATTTATCAGTACTCAGTTAGTACACATGTTCATAGCTACTGTATATGCAACCGTGTAATTAGTCCAGACAATTTTCCGAAACGAAAAAAACCCCACTATGATATCCTGATACAAAACTGAACCAAGCGCTATCTAAAATTACCATAACCATTTATTAAACACGTTAAAATACATTTCTCAGAAATATTTACGAGATATAGTTATCACATTCACTGGTACATATTTTAATTTTCCCACGAAAGAAATTATTTTGGTTCAACTCTACACTGCACATCACAGCAATAGGCGAGTACACCGACACAGTTGGTGAGTGACTATTTGTAGCTGTGATCATCAAAGTGCTGATGTGTAGATGCTTGTGTACGCAAGGGTATCTGCATGTGTGTGTTTGTGCATTACAGGAGGACCGTAATTGCGGTTCAAGCTAAACGATACATAATCACAACACAATTACAAAAAGGATATTTCCGCAAAGGACATTTTCCAAGTGACCATAACCATAACATAAATCCTATATTGAAGATCATTAAACGGGACCCAGAGGCATACTTAATAATAGTAGATAGAAGATACTACACAATCTTATTCACAAATTATATTAAATATACTTCTCATCTGAAATTATGCCAATACTGTATACCTTGATTCATGATTGTATTTTGAGTTAGACCACGTAATCACCAATCACAAGACCTTCCACCAACCGACATTGTCAAATCCCACCTGACATCGGATAATGGGGAGTTGTTACAATGCACATTTGGTCAGATCATTACGTGGCCTAACCCCAAAAAAATCAACTATGACATACGATTGGCTGTGAAAACCTACATGTCAAATTAACTTTACACCTTGTAATCTTAACCTGTTTATTAGGTAATGCTGCTAAAAGTAGCCTGGTCTGTCAGTGTTCTGTCCAAAACAAGCTGCCAGACCACTTTTGCCGGTCTACTGTCTATCGTATAGAAGAGACCAGACTGTAGGCAGGCCTGCACGTGTATAGTCTAAAAACCTCCATCACTAACTTCACGGTGGCAATGGAGATAACAATTAGTTCGACGTTATCACGACCCCGCATACAGATCGAGACGTGCCAACGTTAACAGTGCCCCACTGATGCACCCCATCGTGTTGACAATGCAGCAGTAGAACCCGACTTCGCTCCTCCTGCCATGTGCCGTGCAGGAACAGACGCCACTGGGACCCCCCTCGGCTAGACTGTCAGAGGGCAAATAGACTGCTTAGGAAGAGATGTGGTGTAAGGAGACTTCAAGGATGCCGAGACATGTAAACGCCCTATATGTTTAAAATCGTTATCCTTAAATTCCGCGTGTTCATTCATGAATGTGGGCAAAGACCAACGAGAACTTGCCACCTGTCCGGGTTTGATCCCCAAGAGTCCAGGAATTTGCATGCGTGTGGCAGGAATTGAATTTTACCGAGATCCGCTGGTGTTGTGTTGAATTTTATTACAGTATACTGCACAGGTTGAATAGACCCAAGCCGGGGGGCGGTGGGGGTTGATCTGTGACAAGGTGGCAACCTTATCTAGGGCCCAGAGGCAGATGGCCTTTTATGTACTTTATTATTTAGATCATACCCAAAATGGTGACACGTTCCAACCCTTTTACAAAACGAAACAAAAACAAACTATTCATACTCGCCGAGGTGAAATGTGTTTAGGAATTTCAGGCATGATGGGAAATGCCCATGATGCCACGCAAACGCCGCCGGGTCGCGGGTCCGAGCACGGCAGCCGAATTCTGGCGCTGTCGCAACGAGGAGCGGTGGACGATGCTTCCCACGATCACCAATCACCCAGCCTCTGCCAGGGACTTGCCATTAATGGGCCTCAGTCCCCCTTCCTTACCAAAACCCCCCCCATAAAAGTGGCTTAAGATGGCTTAAGGTTTCGCACTAAAAAGGACCCTCTCTCTTTGGCCCAAGGGCCCCTCTTCCGAAGTTCAAGAAACCCGCCGGTCAGCCCCGTCGTGTGCTCTTACAACCAGAGGGGAACACAGCAGCGTGGAGGCTAGCACAGCGGGCTGTCTTCGTCGTTCTCGTCCTTGATTCCTTTGAGACGCTGGCGCGCGAAATCTTCGAACACGATGTCATCCTCGTGGCCCTCTCCGCTGCGAAAGGAAGCGTGCGGCGTGTGCGCAAGACAGCGTGGGCACGCGTGGAACAAAATTTTGCGGAGATTAGCGCCGGACGTCAAATCGGGAAGAAAAAAAAGTTAATGTTGACAAAGTCCACGGAGCTCGTAAAATGCAATGTTCGTTTGTGCATGCACGCTGGGGATATTGCGAGCATGTGTTTGGATATGAATGCACAGTGCACGCGTGTGCACCGACTACACAAGGTGGCCAGCGATTCGAGTGTCAGTGATAAGCGAAGCAAGCGAGAGAAAATGAGCACCCACTTTATCTTTTCCGGTGAAGCTGAGATTTTTTTCCAAGTGGCAGAGATGAAATGACAGCATGCACGTGCGCAGGTACAAACACGCACGCGAACGCAACAAACATAATCACGATCGTGCATGCAAGCGGCCACGTACACCCACAAGCACAAAGATCCCACCCATATAGCCTGACAGACTGTTGGGGCAAGTGCATCTACCAAGGACCTATTAAGACTGACACAACAAACACGGGTGTGGTGTGGCTAGCCTCACACCCAACTGCCTTTGTAACCCAAGAAATGTCAATTACACACCGACCATTTACTAATTTAAGGTCTAGTTGACCTAGGAGAGGCCCAAGGTAGGTCGTGATACCACCTGCCACGGATGTTAGCCATTGCCGGGAATCAAACTGAAGTCGCTGGGTTCGTGGTGCAGTGCAAGAACCACTACTTCCAACACACACACATGCACACACAGACACGCACGTGCAAGCATGCATTTGCAAATACGGCCAGAGAAAAGAAAGAGCAATTAGTCAGGATCAGTACAAATGCAGTCCCATCAGCGTCAGAGCTATTCCGCGCAGACACAAAACAAAAAAAATAGACCGCTCACAAATCCTCGCCATCGGCCTTGGAGCACCCAAGACAAATTGTGCCGAACGGAATAGTCTACGACGAAATAAGATCGACGCTGATGTTCCGAGTTTGCTGCAGCGTGCCGTGCGTGCGTTGCAGAGCGAGCGGTTAGGCTGCAAGATAAAAACAAACTGATGGGACGCGGAATCCCAGCTTGGACAACGATCGTGAGCACAGCAACAAAAGGACACACGGAGGGTTTGTGGAAAGGATGATTAGGAACGCTCATCCTAGAAGCTTTGCACCTCCCAGCACAGACGCACCCAGCAGGAAGCCGCGTGCTTTCCCAAGCAGTGTTAGAGGGCATGCGCGATTTAATCCGAGCAGTTTTTTTTATTTTCAGCGTTATGATTTTTTTGTTCTCTATCTTTAAACAAATCCTTACTTTGTGTCAAATTCTATCAGGTTGGTATCGAGTGGAGCATCTGATTCAGGAAGGGCTGGGTTGAAGGGAGACAACAAAATATTAAAACAAGTAAACATTTGCACCACGGGAAAGATTTGTGGAGGCGTCATTGATCGGCGGTTGAATGCTCAAATGGATTTTGAACGCAAGGTCTGGCACGTTTATGATGAAAGCGCATTCAAGTACATGTATATCATTTACTGGGATGTCATGTCCTGTAAAACATTTCTTGGAGATGGTGGCGTTTGACAAAAAATATATTACTACTGCTTTTTAAAATGCCACAATCTCAGGGGGCAGATATATTCAAAAGCACAATGCCCCCCATTTGCGTTGCTTCCCAAACTTCCTGGACCGTACAATATACAAATAATATCTGCAACAGTTCCACGGACTTCTTCCCACCGCTTGGTGGACCAGCAATGCCCCACGGGACCGCAGGTTGGTTAACCACCGGGCAAGCCGGGTCAGCCGAGACTGGGTCAGTCCAAGGCCTGTAATAGTTTACAAGCCTGAACCAGGCCCACCCCCACCGGATGATTGTCACCCCGCATTATTTTGGTCATGGGATGTTTCCCCATGGGAGGTTTTGGACAATACTTCACCACGCTGTTCAGGGTGTGGTTGGTAAAAAAAGTGGGGGCCCAGGACCAGCTCGGATGTCGCTTGCCACTTGATATTAGCTGTGGGTGGGAACCGAACTCAGGTTGTCAGGTTCACAGTGCTATGAACCACTCCCACCCCACTATTACGACACTACAATGTCCTTTATTTATGCAGGAAAGCTTCAATGAGTTTCATTTCTCAGGAGGGTCCTGCATGGGCATGTTTTGCTAATTCCATGACCGAGTGATTCACAAGCTCAAAACTACACATGGACACCACGACCTGTGGTGAACTGGGTGTTACAAAACCGTCGTCCATTCAAGCGCCAACCAGGCCCGTACTGCTTAGCTTCCAAGTGCTCCGAAGGGTGCAGGGCCAACGGGCGAGACAGGATCCTTGTTTCATACGGTCGGATGTGCTAGCGAATGCATGGGCGATACATTAGCGAGACGCTCAAGTGATCAGCCACGTGAATCGGAGCAGTTGAATACAGAGCCTCGATTCATAACATCCACGGAGAGGCCAACTGGATGGATGGACACACACGTGCATTGTTAACGACCTCCCGTAGCAAGCATCCATAAAAGAGTCACGTAAATAAATAAACCACACTAAAGCGCGCGCCAATTCAATCACACTCCTGGCAGATTCTACTACGGCACGCCGCCACAATGCGTAACAACGTAACGCTCCGCTCCGAGCAATAAGTTAATGCCTTGGGGGATCACGATGGGCCAAAATCTAGTGACCAAACAAGCAAACCGCAGGAACACCAAATAACCCTGCAAATATACAGAAACCCTCGCACCGCCCCCAATCCCCCCCCCCCCCGATCCCGCACCTCCCCCCACTCTCCCCCCACCCCCGGCCTCCCCTTCCCGTATGCTCACCGCACGGCGTGCTGGGCAAAGACTCCTCCACGGGTTTGGGGTGCATCAGTGTGAACGGCAGCTCCACTGCTACATCCCTGGCGGGGGGAGGGCGGGGGCACACAAGGTGACGATCGGTTCCACGTGCCGGTAGCGGAGCAGTGGCACTAATGGGTGGGGGGCAGCACTTAGTGGAAAGGGCGGGACAGGAATCGATAGGAGGGGGCTTTGGGTGTGCTCTTGGACCAACTTCCAACTCTGTCCCTGGCTATGGCCTCCAGTAGCGTCTGCCCCACCTCCATGCAATCCCCTTTGACGTTGCAGGGGGCATGCGATAATGGTAGGGGCACATCGTAGTTTGAATGCGGGGGGTGGTCACAGTCAGTGGCAGGGGCACGTGACGTCAATGGGAGGAACACGGCCGTAATGGCAGGCACACGGTGGTTCGTGAGGAATGTGAGGAATGCACGATTGTGGTGGGGGGCACGTATCAGTGGTAAGGGTAAATTGCATTAATGGGGGGGGGGCACGTCTCTGGTAGGGACATGTGGAGTTAATGAAGGACACGTTGTTGTCGTTGTTGCTGCTGCTGCGGTAAATCGATTGGGAAAAGGCCACCTTCATATTTTTCATTCTTCTCCCCCAGTTGCTCGCAACTCCGGCAGTGGCCTCCGAAAATCGGCACCATCGTCGCGCTGCCGCAGTCTCTTCCGCCGTCTGCCTCTGTCTCTTCTACTATTCCTCACCCCACCCCCCCCCCCCCCCCCCGTCGTTACATTCGTCTCCCTCTCGTCAATCGAGTGTTAATGGCCAGAGGTATCCCATCAGACAACACCGCACGATGCCATTTGTTTCTCCATCTCAGCGGGACTAGAAATTTCAGCCTCACCAAACAGACTGTTTTTGCCGGCGTGTGTAACCACTTAATTGGTTATTTGGTCTTTCCGTTTATTTCCTACGATTCTCTTCGCAGACGGTGCCTGATGCGCTTCCCACTCTTCCTTGTCACCCCATCCCCTCCCCCCCTCCCTCCCCCGTTGCCAGGTGCACCATGCCGCAAGCGTTTCATTCCCACGCAACTGCTACGTCGGTCGAATGCGCGCAAGTGGCTGGATGGTTCGGAGGTCAGCCGGCACCGCTGAGACCCTGGGTTCGAATCCAGGCGTCAGCCGCCCGTGACTCACGGGATTTACCGTGACCCCACAACGCGGTGAGATGGATGAACAGAGAGACGGGCAGAGCAGCTGATGCTTCCAACGCTTCCCAAAATCCACTGGAAATCGTTCAAACAGAGCACATTAAATAATACGGCTAATCGCAGAGTTTACACTACGGCCGCTACCGACGCGCGGGATACGGCACTGCCCGACGCCCACATTCACCCCACGTGGGGGAATCCATCGCGAGCGACAAATCGGCTCGCAGGGGGGGGGTGGGAGTGGTTCCAGCCCCCCGTGGGCGGTGGACCGGCTGCATTGATGAGATGGTGATGCGTAAACCTTCCGGAGGAGTTAATTAGCTCTTGGACACAGGTGTGTGTGTATATACACACACACAGTATATAGTATAGGACTGATGTGGAATCCTCACCCGCCCCGAGATACGATGAGCTTGACCTTGACGCGGTAGGAGACCAGAATCCCGAGGACCTCCTTGTTGGCTCCATCCTGGACTCTGAAAGCAGCATAGGAATACAACGATGATGATGATGATGATGATGGCGGCGATAATGACGAAGTAAATTATGAAAATTCTTACAAAAATGGTCATTCATGATGAGGACGACAATGAAGTGTCAAGACACAGAAGCCGATTATACAATGCTCGTACACTTCTTGAGAAAGAAATATTACACTCCGAAGACGACAGCGGAACCACCAAGACTCCTCGTGCCCACGCAGGCCCAATGACTCGAATCCCTCCTCCACTGGCTGCCAATCCCATCTCAGATCAATTCCAAGATCGCACTCTGCATCCGCAAGAGGCTCCTCGGACTCTCGCCTCGCCCCTACTGCCACCCGCACGCGCACCCCCCAACGACAACTCCTCTTCGTCACGCTCTATCCGCTGCCGGATGGGGGCGGGCGGGCGGTGCTCACATGGTAGAGGAGGCGAGGTTTGTGTCCTCGTGCTTGAGCTTCCCGTCGAGCGCCAGGCCGCGCTTGTCCCGGTTGCTGGCGAGCAGCGGGGTGAGCGTGTACACCTTGCACAGCGTCGAGCTGGGTCCCACCGTGTCGCTGCGCGGCACGATGCGGTGGCGTGGTGATGCGGCGCGACAACAACAACTCGGGTGCAACGCAGCGACACGTTCGCGCAGGAGACGGCACGGCGGCGCAACGCAGCGTGACGCAACGACAGCGTAGGAGCAATGCAATGACACAACGCAAGAGACGAGCACAATGGTGCAATGCAGCGCAACACAGCAGCAGAAGATTTCGTCCAGGGATATGTCAATTGTGTGAATAACACTGGTCAACAAAAAATAAATTCTGGCCTGGACTTTTGCAGCTGTTTTAGACTAATTTCAGGGTGCTGATTCCAAATCTGATCTTAGATTTGCTCTATCACATCTCATTTTTATGCTATCGGCATACCCCATTTTCCTTGATTTTACCCAAAATTAACTCTGTTACTTATGATTGCAAGTTGTTGCGAGTCAGTGACTGCTTTAGTGTTAAAATATGGGGCTGTATTTTTAGGATAGTGTGTTTATAATATCATTTTATGTAGATATCCACATTAATTTAATATTTTTCTTTTGCGGTTTTTATTGAAAATGCAATATTTGATATCTCAAAAACCTGATGTGATAGACACATTTGGAATCAGCACCCCAAAATAACCTTAAACCCGTTGGAATACCTTATGCCAGAAAAAGTGTGTTGACCAGTGTATAATCATACCCGTATAGCTCCAGTCAAGGTGAAGTCAGACTTAAACTTGAACATCAAGGCTGGGGAGACAGATGTCCGTGTGTGGTGCTGTGTTTAATCCCCACGTTTTATTTATACGAATTTATTACGAATTAGGATCATCATTCTAGGCTGGGTTCAGCACTTTTGAAAACATTTGGGGGTGGTGGGGGACGTACTTAATTAATCGGGGGCCCATTTTACAAATGTTGCATTTTGGATTTTAGAATCCGATCTCACAGCAACCCTCGCTATCATCGCGTGGAAAATTTAGTCGCTCTTGGTTAAAAAAAAAATCTTTAAAAGTGTTTTTTTCCCCCCGCTCCAATTAGCGTGTCTCTCGCCCCACAGTCACGTGGGTGTTTCTCCAGGCCCTTCGTTTTTTTCCCTCCACATTTAGAATCAAACGTGCTTTCGGAGTATTAGGCGGCTATAAATGTCCACGTGATAATAAGACTCTATTTTGAGCTATCATTTGTGGCAAGGCCACTCCCGAAAAAAGCAATATAGCTCAGTGAGGCCTTACCTGGTGAAATAAAAAAAAGTGTTTAAACAGTAGTTTTGTGTGAGGGTGCGTGTACTCACTCTCCCTCTTCCGTTGCCACCGGGCACTTGTACTGAGCCGTATTAAAGAGGCAGATGTCGGCAAACTGGCGCACTGCACACACACACGCGCGCACACACACACAGCAAGCACATGGAAACCTCATAACAGACATACGGAGAGAGCGCATGCTTACGAGTGTTGTTTCGGACTAAAACGCTTGGAGCCAGGAATTCAGCGGGCGCTACAACACAGTTGAGGTTTGTGATGAGGGATCACAGCCGAGGCTCACAGGTCACAAGGGGTAGAGGAGGTTCAAAGGCTGGGAGCTAAGAATACGCGCACGCGTCTGGCCGAAAATGAAACCCATGTGGCCGTGCTAATTACATTGCAAATAGAGAGCCTCAATTCCTCCGCTTCCAGGTCTCTCCGTGGGATCTCGCGTTAACGACGGGACGACTTTACGTCCAAGCGGGTGTCCGGTGCAAGTTTATAATCCAGCGCATTTGCAGGCGGAGCCGGGAAGATCATGCAGATTTGTAAATCTCCAAAACCCATTTGGCTTTAGAATAGCCAGTAGTCGTCAAACTCCAAGTAATTTTCTGCTCAAAGGAGCAATGAAGTGGTACTCATATCTGCTGTTTAGAGCCACTGGAGCCAGTGGTGGAAATTCCACATGCCTATGACGTGGGCGAGTCTATCCACAAAACAAACCACAGTTGACTTCCCCGCAACGTGCTTCTCATTTTAGCGACCCTTGAGAGATGATGGGCCGAGTCAACAACCCCTAACCAGGAGTTGAACATGGAACCTCCCGATTGCGAGTTGCTCATTCTCCCGCTGAGCCACCTCCTGGCCGAGTAGAAGCGGAGGGTAGTACAGCAGATAGGTCGTGAACCTATCTGCGCAGACCAGCGAGCGTCATGCCGTAAAACGCGTGGGGGGGCTTTCTCAGAGTGTCTCCGGTTTCCATCACATACAGCAACAGCAAAGCGCTCGTAAAAATGAAAAATAATTGAGGAACAAACATCCCAGTGCAGGAGGCTAATGAAAAAAGTGTTCGAGACTCGGCGAGGCTTCTCTGGTATATGCACATTCCGTTCGTATTACTATTCTTACGGGCGCGTTTACAAAGTCTTCTGTCAAAGCACCCAGTCAACCTCTGCTCGTTGGGAGTTTGTTCCGTCTCCTCCTTCCCCGCCCCGCCCAGCCACCCGTGCCAGTGACTCCCCGCCCTCGTTCAAGCCCAGGCTCAAGACGACCTTCCCCGTCTCGTCGCACGAATATTTCTGCGACAATTATCAACGTGACATGAAACATGACCGTCTACGCCAGGGGCTGGTAGCCAAATGAACAAGAGAGAGGACATTTTTTTCGAATTGGGTAAAAGAAAACAAATTCTCTCAGGTGCCACAAAAGCAGTCCTTAAAGAGGCGCACGTGCGTTTCGGAGCCACAGGCTGCCGACCCCTGGTCCACGCGATGCGCGCGTTGTCCGGCACGTTGAGACGCAAGTGGGGTGGGGGGTGGCCCCGATGTCGATGCGAAGTGGCACCGCATCGCATGCCCTTGCCGAAATCTCACCGGTCATCTTGATCTTCTTCACCGTTTTTGTCGAGTTGTTGGTGACGTGCACGTTCACGTTGATGGGCTCGCCGTGGTAATAGATCTGGTGAAAAACAACAACAACACGAACGCCGAGATCCCCCTGTGTAGCCTTGAACAGACTGTTGTGGCAAGTGTTGCTAGCGAGCACCAAGGAAGGCACCATTGTCTCTCCTTAGTGCTGATGTTTGCACACCTCGCCAGGTACTGGATTTAAGGCCGAGTTGACATAGCGGAGGCCCAGCGCCGGTTCAAATACTCGCTGCCATTATTGGTCGTGAGCGGGAATCGAACTTCGGGTCGCCGGGTCTCGTTGTGCAACGCGCTAAACCGCTACACTCACCAGGAGCGAAATTATACGACACGCGCTTTAAAAAATCACGTTGCCAGAGACGTTTTGGCCACGATATGCGTTTCCATTAAAAAGAGGGGAAAAAAACGTACGATCAAAAGATGACATTTTCATCGAAAATATCATTTTAGCCAAGAGGCAGCTGCCGACACAGCGTGACGCAGCAATTAGAGCCGGCGTGCTCAATAGAACGGCGCACATTTTTCAAACAAACACCATTTGAAATTAATCCGTTCTATTCCATTTCTGTTCATCTTCAACGCTCGGAGATAACTTCCTCCCCCTTTATTAAATGTAAAAAACGCAAACTTCCCCGCGGTATTCGGAAGCCCCAATCTAGATTGAAAACTAATTTCTTTAGAACTGCTTTTCATGTTCAGTTTTGTTGTCCTTCCCCCGCACCTCCAATTAGCACGGTTGGCTACGTACGGTGCGAAATAAGTTCAACATACAACATACATAGTTACTTGGTATTCCTCACCAGCTATCTCCCCCCCCCCCCCATCCAAAACCGCCCCCTTCTGTCCTCCCCGTTGACTGGTCACGCTTCCCAATTCTCACCCACCCCTTTCCACACCTCACGTGGTCGTACCTCCCCGTTCCCAACTTTTAATTCCTTTCCCATCGTCGCCTCCCCGCCCCCCCGAGCTCATCGACGATTACCTTGCCCAATCCAAGAGACGTTTGTGTCAACTCTCAGCTGTTACAACGTTGACAGTGCTGTTTGTTGCTGGCTACTTGACATCGTGGGACTGGGCTCAGCAAATGCGTTTAAAGAGAAACATCGTTTCATACAGAAATATATGAAACGGTCCTAGGTCCCGAGCTCACCTATCCTTCATCATGCACGACGCCAGGTTGTTATTATTATTATTCCACATCTACACTCACCCACCTTCACCTATCCGCACTGACCAGCGTGGCGAAGCATGGGCAAACAAGAAAACCTCGCGACCGATACAGCATGGGCGAGGCCTTCATCCAGCAGTGGATCGATAAAGACTGCAAATCAGCAGTTGGTGTTTTACGCGCGTCATTAGCGCGAGGGTTTGCGGTGGTCGAGGCGGTTTGCTGTCGCACCGCTGCTCAATCTTACGCTCGTTTAACTTCATCGTTCGCCAAACCCTGCAAGAAACGATCCAAAACAACAAGCGCCGGGCATCCGCACCCGCCAGGCGGTCGAAATTGGCACGGCGGGAACGCGCGCATGTTTGCGCCTATGAGCGTGTGTGTGCGTGACGCAATGGTGCTGCGAGTGTGCAAGTCTGCAAGTGTATTGCGAGTGTGCCAGTTTTCGGCGAGTATGCGAGTGTGTTGCGAGTCTGCCGTGAGTGTACCGGTGTGTTGCGAGTGTACCGCGTGCCTGCCGCGAGTGTACCGGTGTGTTGCGAGTGTACCGCGTGCCTGCTGCGAGTGTACTGCGAGTGTGTTGCTAGTGTGTGTGCGAGTCTGCGTGGCGGGCACCATCTTGTCGAGCGAGGCCTCCAGGTGCAGAGGCTTGTCGGACATGAGGAACTGGCGCGTCGTCTCCGCCATGGGCTGTGGGCCCGGCTTCTCCGGGGCGAACTGCACCTTCCGGATCACCAGGCGCACCGAGTTCCTGCGGCGGGAGTGGTGCACCGCGTTAGCGAGCGCCCATCGTTTTACTTGTCCTATTCCACGTGAATATCCCACCTGGAACAAATCTCCTGAGATGGATCGCCTCGGTTTTCACGGCGCGTGTTACAGTGCGGGAGGCTATAACGGGTTCAATTCCCGCTCACGGCACACCACCAGTGGCGATTATCCGAACCGGTCCTGGGCCGCCCCTAGGTCGACTCAACCTCAAATGAGTACCTGGTACGGTGTGTAAACATCGCCACTGGGGAGACAATGGCGGCCGAGCGTGGCGCTGGACACCCACCCCCTCGTGTGCACAAAGACAAAGATCCCCTGTATAGCCCTAACAAACTGTTGGGGCAAGTGCTGTTAGAGAGCAGCACCTATGAAGGCCGGCACAGCACACGAGGGGGTGGGTGGCCAACACCACGACCAATCGACCGCCTTTGGTCTCCCCAGTCGCGAGAGAACCCTGTTAGCTCACGGCACGTCAAGCTACTGTTGGAGTCGTGCGGCGAGACAGAGGAAGCTTCCTTGTGGGTCCCTGGCAATGAGCGGAGCAACGCGTCGGGGCTCGGTAAACGGCACCAGATACGACAGCAGAGCAAGTCGTGGGGGTCTCTCCACACGGGGCTCGGAGGAGCGTCGCTCACTCACCGCTTGTGAATTTTCTCCTCCAGGTTCTCGGCGCAAAACGCTTTTATTTCGAAGTCCACTCCACATGCCTGGGAGAAGGAAAAGCCATGGTTGTAATCATCGTCATTGAGTCAGGATATATCCACTGCCAGATGAAGGCGTCCCATGAAAAATTCGCCATTGCATCACAGTCCAGCGATGCCACAGTCCCTCTCAATCCTGAGCAGGAGTTGATCTCATCGTCCTCTGGGGCGCATTCCCTCCCCTCCGTTTACCATTCCACCGCCAGCCTCATCCATTGGCACCATCCCATCACCTGTGCCGACACGGCGAGGTTGAATTTCCACTGTCATTTCATCGAATTGTACTACGCTGGCCTTGCAAAACATCCGAATCTGGCTTGGGGCCCAGCAGGGCCAGGGGTGGGGCTAGCCAAGCGTGGAATGCATCAGACGTCAGTGGCACGGCTCGGCTTTTGTGGTGGAAAAGAACTTGCACGGTCTAGAAAAGGCGAAACATTACAACTACAGTAGCACTAATAATTACGACGGAAACAAATCGAGTCAGCGGAGTGGCGGCAGAGTGGTTAGCACTTTGTGCCATGATCCCCGCAACCAGAGTTCCATTCCCAGCTGCGGATATTCTTATCGGCGAGTGATATCATAACCGGTCAAAGGCCCCAATGTCACCCTTCACCAGCCAACATGAAAAAGTTGGTCAAATAACCCCCATCCAGCAGCGAGTCGGCACGCACGTACCTTGCCGGTGTCCTCTGGGCCAGGTTGGAGGGTGACTGAGCAGGGCAGGTTCTGCGGGATCTGTCAACGCGACGGCAGAAACGCGGTAAATCAGTGGAGCGGTGTCACGGTGGTTAGCACGCCGCACTAGGTATCCCCCCCCCCCCCCCGCCCACAAGTCGAGTTCAATTCCTCGCAACCCACACCGACCAGCATGACAGAGCGTGAGAAGCGGCCGAGCCCGTCGGTACGCCGAGGAAGCAACAACAAAAAACACGACGCGGGCCGCCGTGGCCAACACACAAAACGATGGTGGGAGAAGGCACGCGGGCGGGGGGTGGTCGCGGTGGCGGTGGGGGGGGGGGGTGGTGGGGCAGGCACGTTCCCCGGCGCGCGGAGACGCTCGCCTCGAAGGTGAAGGGGTAGGCGTCCTTGCCCAGCTTCTTGACGAGGCGCTCCTGCAGGCGCGTCAGCGGGCGCGCCTCCTCGGGCACGGGCGGCACGGCCTGCAGGGTGCTCAGGTAGAGGTCCTTGCGGAACGTGAGGCCCAGCACGTCCAGGTCCTCGCGGCCGTAGCGGAACGCGCACGTCAGCGTCACGTACACTGCCCGGGCCGGGGGTGGGGGGGGGGGGTTGGGAGGCTTAATTATTGAATGGAGATGTAGTCACAAGGACCAGACGGGAATGGCAGTGATGGAGACTTGGACGCGGATGGCTGGGGGGGGAGCTTCAGGATAAGCGGGCGGCAGACGACGAAAACGAGCGACCTCGCGCGGATTGATTTTGACTGGCGGGCTTGGGATAGGAAGCCTTGGTTGCTGGCGGGGAAGAGTGCACGGAGTAGAGTGAGAGGGAGCAGAGAGAAGTGCACTATTGGCCTCGTGTCAAGAGACGAGAGGCCCGTTTGAAGAGCGGTTTGTCACCATCAAGGCACTTCCCGCAAAAGCAGATTTCGCGAGACTACTTCTGAGACTCAAGTGATCTTCATCATCCACAAAATAGAGCACAGGGGGTCCCTGATATACGTCGTTTCAGACTCACGTCGACGACTTTTTGAGGAGCACGGCGTAACATTTTCCCGCATATATAGGTAGTTTTTGACTCAGATCTGCGGAGACGAGTCTAAAACGCAGTGCATGGGTGCATAGCAGTCAACGCGCGGCGCTGCGAGCCCGGCGACCCGACTTTGATTCCCGCTCACGGCCACCACAGTGACGAATATCGTGTTTTTGATTCGCCTCGGCTGAACTCGCGCATGAACCTCAATCTTCTCAGTCCCATCGTAGCTACTAGTGCTCATAGTAATCGGCGCGACTTAAAAAAAAAACTAAATATCGACAACAATCCATCCACTCCCACAAAAGTAAGATCATAAAAATTATAGGTTAAGGTAAGATCTTTTTAAAATGCTGTCTAAGATTGTGGGGTTTTTTTTTTTTACACTAAAATTGGCTTTCTGTTTGCGTCATTGCTTAAAAATTTCACAAATGCGTTTCACAAATACATATACAGTATGTGTACAGTACCTAGTTTTCTGTACATCTACAGTACGTATTTTGGTTTATAGGTATAAAACGCCACATTTACAAGTTAGCCCCTATTCCTCCCTTATGCCATCGTTTCTTATGGGAGAGATTGCCTCATTTTGCGTCGCATAGCCAATGCTGTCCCTATCACCACCCCACCTATTAAACACTATGGGGGGAGATTCCCCGTTATACATCGTTTCGTTATAAGTCGCAATTTCCTGGTCCCCTGTGGCACTTTCCCACAAGCCCTGCTGCAGACAAGTACTTTCCGCATAAGGCAGTCAAACACTGCATTTCAAAACCACTATCAGAGCTGGAATTTAGCCCAAATTCGGTGAAAAACCAAATCGAAGGTGATGGGTTTTTTTTTTAGTGCTGGTGACCATTAACTCGATGCAATCGAGAGCCCAGTTTAAAAATCACGGGTGACTGCAACAACCCAGGATTAAAACCCATGCTCTTGATGATGGTGGCGGCAGAGTTCATTGAACCCCAACCACAAGAAAAACAGTCGCGGAGCATCTTGATTTGGTTTCACGCACTCGGGTGCCTCTCTTTCACCCCACAATGCACTATTTTTACGAGCGGCACGTGAAGGAAGCCGCGACCCAAATAAGAAACAGCTGTCAAACGTTGTAGATGCACGCGTCTGGGCCGTGCGTCCCAGGCCGTCTGATTTGTTTAAAAACTCCGGGAATGGTTGAAGAGACTACTGCATTGGTTAACGTGCTGCCGTGCTGCACGACTCTCCGATGCGTCTTCGGGTCGTGCCGCGTGTCGCTAAGCGTCCACTCCGATTAAGTTGACGAACGTTTCCATTTTCTGAAATGGAACCGTTTTTGCCTGTGATGGCCACTTGCTTGTGACATCGTGCCTCTAAGATTCGCGCGCCGTTTGTAAAGGTTGCTTCCCGATTGTGTGCGTAAATGTTCGGCATCTGTCACACGGAGAATTATTTGAACTTGCAACCCATTCGCTGCATCCTGATCTCGTTTATTTTAATTTTAAATGACATATAAAATGTTTAATCCGTGAGCAGAATACGTTTTTTGTGGGAAGGCGCTCCAATTTTTCATCTCAATGTTCCAAATAATGTTTTCGTTCCATGAAAGCCCCAGTGAATATCAACGCTGCTAAATTTTTACAACTATTTTATCCATGCTCCACATTTTAGGGACTCGTTTTTTACGTCCACTTGGCTGCCTTTTGTAGTTCTACTGCCAAACATAGTAGGCCTGGTTTTTTTTCTATCAAGACTCGTTCTCTCATCACGTTCAAGCCCGTCGCATACAAGAGTCACACTGACATGAGAGCACACCTTTGTTATGGATGGCAAGACTGCAATGCAGTTTTTTCCACCAACGACAATAACAATCACATACAACAAAAACTTTAACCGTACGAACGCAACAGGTGATGGCGTGTACCAAAGTTAAACGGAAAAATGAAATCTGGTGTGCCGCCAGTTCAAAGCCTTTGCCGTTTTCTAGTAAATAGATGCAAGATGCGTTTCTGGAGGCATCCATCGTGGTTTTTTGGCAGGCGGGTCCCCCTGGCAATTGTGGACCGGATTTAAATCCCGCACAGCCAAACACATGCAGCCGCCGCACGTCACGCCACGAAACATCCCCCTCCACGGGCGTGAAATATGACGTCAATTAAAACGGTGCCAAACCTTTGCGCTCTTTTAAATACTCCGAGTCCACCAGTACGATTCCGTCTGCGGGACACATTTTGCAACGACAAGAGAAGGAGAAATCGGTTAGCGCGAGGTCACTCTTAACGCCACAGAGCTGGCTTCAACTCAAGGTACACATCCTTCTCTCGGCAGAGAGCAGAAGCTTACGATGATGACAAGTCAACGTGTGATGATGGAAAGGGATCTACAAGCAGTTATTATTTACATATACAAATTGGGGTCAGAAAGTGCCGGTATGCGACAGTATATATGTAGAACTTCTTTCGTACCATACATAGCCAACCGTGCTAATCGGAGGTGCGGGGGGAGTGCAGGCTGTGAACAAACTGGAAAGCAATCACTGGTGGCTGCTGCCGTGTGTAAGGTCATGATCTGCGTGCGTCAGTGCGACTCCCGCTTCTACAGACAGGACCGCATATCGACCAGTGCGGTCTGTCAGGGCGTTGGATGCGACGCTGGTGTGACCATGCCAAGTGCTCCGTAGGTGGCGATGAACCTCAAGATGGTATATTTATTGCAAGAGCTCATTAACACCACAAGTCTTTTTTTTATCTGTGGCCTCCTGCTGAAAGTGCCTAAACCGGCAGCAATTGCTCGGACAGGGGGTATTTCCACTTCATTAAGTCTCATCAGCAGTTTGCGCGTAGCACTGGGTAGCAAAAATATAATTGAGCGAGAGTGATTTCAGACATTTCGCAAACACTGCGGTGCCCCCCCCCCCCCCCCCACCTAAGTCAAGTTGCACCTAACAGCGCGCATTCAACGGCTGCGCACCCTTGTCACGGCAAAGTGCGGCGGGTGCGGCCGCGTCGAGGGTCAACGTACCGACGGGGTCCACGTGCTCCAGGTGATCGACGAAGTCCCGTTTCCCCAAATACACCGTGACCTGCCGGGCGGACACCACGCGCACACACACACACGTACCATAAAGGCATGACAAAGATCCCCCCCCCCGCCCGCCGGTTAAGCGACGCAGAGCAGCGGGGGAAAGTGTTTCTCCCCCGACGCCTTGAGACCGTCGCGGGGGTCGCACGACCCGACTTCCCCGCGCGCTTGGCCGGTGTGGGATGGTGGAACGAGCGGGGCCACAAATCAGTTGGGATGCCATCGTGGAATTCGGGTCGCCAGGTTCGCAGCACAGTGCCGCAACCGCCGTGGTGACATTTGAATATGAATCATCAGTTAAATATTAAAAGGCGTCTCTCTCTGCTAACAAGAACGTTGCGCCATTCCCATCTCCAATGGAGTTTGTGAGTCAGGTGGTGAAATTAATGCATGTCGGGGGGCAGTTTTTGTATAGGACAGCCGCTGCCTTAATTATCATGAGCCATAGTTTATCCACTGCTGGATGATGACCTACCCACGCCATTGCTATCACTCGCTGTCCTGTGATACAACAATCCATCTCGGTCCCCTGCACACGAGCCGAAGTGATCGCTCCATCTCCGTGAGTGACAGCAGGATTGCATATGTTTGGAGAATCTGGTTATCTGCGTTAGGTGTTGGAGCTTCATGAGAAACAGAATACTGCGCGGTCGCGATAGACCGAGTGCCGACTGAGAAATACGCCCGCGGTTTGGTGTGTGGAAAATTTGGCGACCCAAAAAAAAAAAATCGGGAAGCCTTCATCCAGCAGCAGAGTGACAACAATAGAACTGCGATGCACGTGTACGGCCGATGCACAACCCACGGCCTAATAGCAGCCGTGTGGGTGGCACCGTTACAATTTTAAACGCGGCTGACGTCAACGAGTGGGAAGCGCGTGTCAAGGATGTCAGGGCCCACTGGGGCCCCACGGGCGTTACCAGCTCCGGCGATTAATACAATTACAGCACGATGTGGATTATAATACGGCATCTGAGTGCGAGCGCTACTAAAGCCGCTGGACGTATTTCTTGTATAGAGGGGAGGCAGGCAGGCAGGCAGTCGAAGCCAGGATGGGAAGAGGTCTCGAGCGAGATCGGACTTGGGCAGGGAGACGACAGCACGGACAGTGGAAGCGAGTTTCAGATCATGAGGGCACAGCAGAGGAGAACGAGCGACCTCGCACCAAGGAAAGGTTGATTTGGGGCTTCAACAGAAAGCCTTGGTTGCTGGAGTGGAGAGTTAGTGGAGGGGGGTAGAGTGGATAGAGGTAGGCAGGTGCGATTCCACGGAGAATCATGATGATGGCGAGAAGTGCGATCGTGAATTCGAACCGTGACTGTGCTGGGAGCCGATGGACGGATCTGAGTATCTAGGTGTGTATGTAGAACTTCTTTTGCACCGTACGTAGCCAACCGTGCTAATCGGAGGAGCGGGGGGGTGGGTGACAAACTAAACACCAAAAGCAGTTCTAAAGAAATTAGTTTTCCATCTAGATTGGAAAGTGTAAAGCTCCAGTGGCTCCGAATATTGAAAGAGCGTTGCAGACGGCCGCAGAAGCACATCCGAAAGCGCGCGATGCAGTGACCGTCTTTGTTCGACGGCTAGCCAAAAAGCCGCCGCCGTGAGGATTAACGGAGTTCGTGACGAGATCGGCAAGGTATTGTGGTTCATTTGTGGCAAGCGCTTTGTGTGCAATGAGTGCGACCTTAGGATGTACGTGAAGGGTGACGTGGACTGTTTCACGGGTGGGGGTTGAGATGTGTGGGAGGACAGTGAAAGGTGCACAAGAGAAAGTGTCCCCCCCGTGGCCGTGAACGAAGCGAGCAGAGGGACGAGTGTGTGAGTGGGTGGGTGGGTGACTCGGCCACAAATGAGTACCTGGTGCGGTAAACATCGCCACTAGGGAGACAAAGGCGGCCGGGCGTTGGCCACCCACTACCTCGTGTGCCATTCCGGGCTTCAATAATGCTCACAAACAGCACTTGCCACTACAGTCTGTCAAGGCTATATGGGGGATCTTTGTCTTTGTGTGAGGGGGTGGGTGTGGCAAGGCCATCCCTTCCCAATATTCGACAATGGCCATTTCCGTTAACGTTATTGATGCATTTATAAATACATTGCACGCAATGATGTATGCACCCTGTGTGTGCGCACGTGTGTGGAGAGCGGTGGTGCAGCGGGTAGAGCACTGCCGGCACAAACCCACGGACTTGAGTTCTGTACCAGGCGATGGTTTGTATCAGTGGCGAGTGATATCTATACCAGTGGCTCTCTCTTCCCCCCCCCCCCCCCGCACTGACCAGCAGGGTGAACTATGATCAAGCAACACCGAAGCGTGGCATGGTCTGGAGGAGGCCTTCATACAGCATTGGACCTCTCTTAGGTACACTCAGCCTTAAATGAGTACCCAGCAATGGGGCGACGCGACGGCCTTAATTAGGTCCTCGCTTACAGAAATTGCCACAACCGCCTGTGTTGGCGGTTATTGGGGATCTTTGTTGATACACATGATATTTGCAATGGAAAAATATATATCATCAGGCTTTTGTGAATCTACTGCTGGATCAAAGACACTCCTCACGGCATCGTTTGGCCATACTTCACGTATGTACGTTGAACGTCTAAATCGGAGGTGCGAGGAGAGGACAACAAACACACAAAAAGGAGTTTTAAAGAAACGAGTTTTCTATTTAGTCTTTTAAAAGTGCACAGCTCCCGTGGCTTCCTAATATCGAACGGAAGGGCGCGTTCCATACTGCCGCAGAAGCGCATCCGAAAGCAAAAGTCAACCCGCTACTCTGGTCGGCGCGCGTTGAACGCAGCGATCGTCGCGCGCCGGGAGACATCGGCGCAAGCAACGTGTACCAGCAAACGCAAGGGTGACGCACACCGTGACGCAGCACCACGGGCGAACCGCTATCGAGCGAGGCAGACGCATGAAGAGTCACAATTGGCACTCAACCTCTGCAATCAGCTGGTCCCAATTATCGGGCGATTTCTGAACAGAGTGGTCCGAGTAACAGAACAAAAAGGTAGCAACCGTTAAAAAAAAAAATCACCCTCGCTTTTGTGAGCGCAGCTCTTCGTTTTATAACAGAATGTGACCCTTAGAACGCGAGCATTGAAAAATCGAACAAAAAATCCAGGAAGGTGGGAAGGAGAGAAAAAAAAAGCAAAAAAACCTGACTTCGTATCATCACACAAATAAATACACCAACAGTGCTCGCTGTCTTGCTTTAGAACGCTCGCTACTCTGATGCAGGGCCTGACGCGTGCATCGCCACACCCACGTGTTGAGCAACTTCGTTGAGATATCATTTGTGACCAGGTCGCTGCTGAAAAAGAAGCTAATAGCTCGGTGGGTTTTTTCTGTGTTTATTTTTAAAAAACAATTTAGCGATGCCTTTACCTTTCTATTGTTTTTTTGTATTGTTTGTTGTTGTAACGTTCTGACCCACCCCGACGAGACATCTGCTTTATATAGCTCGTCGAATTCGTCCAGTACGACTTCATATTCTGATTCTGCTCCTGCAAAGGGCCGGGGGAGCGGCAGCCGAAGGGAGGCAACATTGGCGCGTCTTCGTCAACCGAGGAGAAGCAATGAGATGAGCTCCGTGCGTTGGAGCGAGTTGACACGTTGGCTTCTCAGGACGGCAATAGCTTGGGGAGGGGGCCTTCACCCAGCAGTGGATAGATAAAAGTTAAATCTAGTTTCTGCAGTTAGTGTCGATAAAAATCAATTTCAGGGTTCTCAAGGAGGAGAGTCCACCACTAAACAAACAATACTGGCATCGGACATGCAGTATGGGTCCGCATTTAAACTTCCACAATCGGCATTCAAATCTACATTCCGTTTTGAAAGTTCTCCATTTTTAACCACGGCTGAAAAACCACGTCGCAGCGTACGTCCTACTTAAAAAAAATAGTTTTTAATATAAATAAATATTAAAATGTATCGTTCAATTGGTTCTCTGTTGGTGTAATGAGATATGACGTCTCCTGCGAATGAGATGTGCCACACACACACACACAGAGTGTGGAAGGCTCAAGTGACAACCCACCCCTCTCTCCCCCTCGCCTCCGTTGAGGGAGAGATAACGAAAGGACGGTGAGACCCCCCCACTGACCCCCACTCCCCAATACCAATCGTGTCCGCGACACGATGACAAACACGTGGATCAATTTTAAACAAGCCCAGCATTTTACACGAATCCGATCTTAGGCGAGCGGTGTGGCGCAAGTGGTCAGAGGCATCTTCTTGGTTCTTTCGGTAAAGTCACGTAGAAGGGAAATAATTACCGAAAGAACCAAGAAGATGAATCCCTGCAGTCACAAAAGCTTTAAATCGAAAAATTATGATCAGAGGCACTGCGCCGCTACGAACCCCGGGCAACCCATGTTCCGATTCCCCGCTCCTTGAACCGCTCCTTGGCCTCTCGCCTCGGTCGACTTGGCCTCGAATGAGTACCCGGTGCAGTGTGCAAGTAACAGTGAAAACAACACCGCCGCTGAGGGAGACAAAGGCGGCCGGGCGTGGTGCTGCCCACCCAGCCCCGCGTGTGCCGTGCCGGCCTTCATTAGGTGCTCGCTAACAGCACTTGCCTCGCCAGTCTGTTGAAGGCTATACGGGGGTCTTTGTGTGTGTGCGCGTGTATATATAAGTGTGTATGTATTGCCATGCGTATTTATTGACGTGTCTTTGTGTATAAGCGTGCGTGTGTGTATATATAAGCGTGTGTGTGTGTGTAGATATATAAGCGTGTGTGTATTTATATATATAAGCGTGTGTGTATGTATTGGCGTGTGTGTGCGTATTTGCGGCTGTGTACGTGCGAGCTGTTTTAATGTGAGAATTGATCCAGGAGTGGTGTCAGGAGAGACGGTGAACCCACAGCAGCCTTGGCCACCAGCTCCTCGTCACACTCACACACTGGCAGTGAGAGAGAGTGTGCCTTACCTTCCCATTGGGGCTTGATTTCTTAAACACCCTGAGAGACAGACACAGAGGCAGACACAAAGACGCACGCACAGAGACAAGGGATGGGAGGAGAGAGACAACAACGCATAAGGAGTGAGATTCGGATCTTCAGGGCGTCCCAAACAAACGGCTCGCGCTACGCTTTGCGCAAATCTCCCGTGAGCTGGGGTCTCGTACCCAGAAGGCAGTGTTTTTATTAAGCAGCTCCGCATCGCTGCTCTGCCAAGGCTGTGTTGATTCCAGAATGTAATATATATACACACCACACACACAGAAAGGAATATTTATGTACGTATTCATTCATTTTAGGCCAAGGTATCCCGCTGAGATTCAATCAAGACGCTTTACAATTTAGGAGCACGACTATTGTGTACTCCAAGCAACTGAGGATGTGAAAAGGAGAAGGATTATCGTTTTAAGTGTTATGCAGAATGTGTTTTTACTTGTACGAAATGGCAGTAGTTATATCAGTATTTAATTTTAATGTGGAGAGAGTTTCTTAAACCCCGGCAGTATCAACGGGAACACCATAATTAGGTTGATCGGAAGGTCGGGTGTGGTGGGGTAAAGTGTGGGTAACTCCTGCCTCTTTCAAAAGACGTCTAGCCAGCTCCCTGGGGGGGGCTCCCTTGAATTGGGGGGCCCTGCCGCCAGCAGTGGTGCAGAGGAGCAATTGCACGGCTGCGCATTTTACAGCTATCATTTTCATCGACTCAAAGAAACCTTGGGATTTAAAAATTTAATAGGACAATGTACGCAATATATAAATATAAAAAATAGACACGAAATCGATATTCCCCATTCTATCCGGTCAGGTGACTCACAATCACAAGGTTGCGAGTTCAAACCCTGGTTTGTGGGTTGACTTGGCCCATCATCCCTCTGGGGTCGAGAAAACGAATACCACTTTGTGGGCACGTTAACAGTGGTTGTTTATGGATGGACTATGCCCCGGCCATTAGGAATGTGAACTTTCCACCGCTCGCTCTGGGGGCTTTAAGCGGGAGATGATCACCAGTAGCTCAATGCTGATTTGAGCAAGAAATCACTTTTAATTGCTTTACTTTTCATCGTCCGTCCTATTGAAAATCTCGGCACGATGGCTGCTCCATCTCGTGCACACGCACGAGCCCTCAAAGAGGCCGTTATCCGCAACGTTAAATCACACGCCCCACATCTGGCGCACTGCTAAATCGCACGAGGATTGAACCCGACCGCATACAGACGGCAACGGCGAATGCTACACACGGAGAGGTGCAGGATAAAAACAACAAAAACGTCCCTTAAAAATAAAACCTAATGTTTGCACAGTCAGTCACGTGTACAGAAGCAGCAGATTCATAAAACTAATTGAAAACATGCAGCAGCAGCCGCCGCAGAATAATTATCGCCCGGCAGTTAAAAACGTGGCTTGCATCGCCAATTCTGGTCAGTTTATTACTGTGACAAGCTTTTATTTTTAATGTTACAGCGATTAATTAAATACCAAGCAGGCAGCCACATAATTGGACATCGTTATCGGCAGTGGACTGTGTGGTGAAATAAAAAAACACAAATGCACTTTGACTCGAAGGCTCGTGGCGACTTGTTGCAGCGGTGGTGACAGTGATGGTCGTGGTGGTGGGTGTTGGTTAGTAGTGGTAATGGTGGCCACGGTGGTGGTGGTGGGTGTTGGGTTAGTAGTGGTGGTGGTGTTGGTGGTTTATGGGTGGGCAAGGGTGAGAGTGGTAGTGGGTGACAGTAATGTGTTGGTGGTGGTGTAATGATACTGATGATGATGGAAGCACTGCTATTCGAGGTGGTGCTGGTGATACTGGGAGTGGTAGTTCAGTGTTCGTGGTGGTGTGAGTAAGATTGATGGTGGACTGATCGTGGTGGTGGTGGTAGTGTTCGTGTGGGGAGTGGTTGTGTTGCAGTTAACGCTACATACCCAGCGACCAGAAATCGATTCCCGCTCACGGCTAACACTAGTGACGATTATCTGAACCGGTCCTGGGCCTCCACCTAGGTCGACTCCGCCTCAAATGAGTACCTGGTGTGGTGTGTAAACATCACCATTGGGGAGACAAAGGCGGCCGGGCGTAGTACTCGCCACTCACCCCCTCGTGTGCCGTGCCACCCTTCATAGGTGCTCTGCGAACAGCACTTGCCATAACGTCTCTTTAAGGTTATACGGGGGATCTTTGTTCTATTTGGTAGTGTTCGTGGTGGTGCCAGTAGGAGTGGTGGGAGTGATCGTGGTAGTGCCAATTGTGTGATTGTGGTGATATTTGTGAATTTGTCAGTGCTCTGGTGAGTGGAAGCAGTTGCCGGTGGCGAGGGCCCGACTCTCAAATTATAGCAAACACCTCGCTGCTCACAAACCAGACCCAACTATGGGCAAATATTGCACTCGAATCTGCAAATTAACAGAATCACCCTTTCGCAAGATCAGAAGCCATTCCGTTTCATCATCTCCATTGCCACGGGGCCCACGTAACCATAGTTACGCAGGAGCAGCCCATTTGTTTTTTTCAGGAAATGTTCAAACGTTGGCCGTGACACCCGGCACGTTGGCCGTGACACCCGGCACACGAGAGCGACGATACCGAAGGGACTGTAGCAGCATCCGCGATTGTCTTTTTGCCCAGGTTCATTCCGATTTGTGCCATGGGCATCGTGTCAATAGGCCAAAGCTTCCCCTCCGAGCGCTGGCGGTAAGCAGAGTGTCGCCCGATGCATGAAAGTGGCCCGCAGAAGGAGACCGCGCAGAACTACTGCCGCGATCCCTTCGAGTGACCTCGTAGCCACACACTGGGGAGGTGGCAGCACCTTCCGAGCAGGAATAAGGAAAAATGTGAAAAACTTAATTCAACTATGTTTATATTTTGCGCAGCCATTGGCGACCGGGCTGAAACCAATTACCTCGCTACGCCCGAGGACCGGGTTTATTCACGGGTGGCAGAAACATGCACATGAAGCCAGGATCACAGCGGTGCCGACTTTTGGCGTCGCGGTGGCGAGATGTTAACCACCTCGCCTAGTATACAGGAGGTCGTGGGATCACACCTGACCCTGACGCCTGTACATTTGGAGTGTGCGTGTTCTCCCAGTGGTCGCGTGGATTTTTTTTTCCTCCGGATCCTCCGTTTTTTCCCCCCTCCACATTTATAAATCACGCGTTTAAGAGCATTTGGCTGCTTTCAAATTTCCACGCGATAAGCCACTCGGTGGAGCTATCATTTGTGGCCAGGTCGCTTCTAAAAGAGTGCTATATCAGCTTGGCGTTTCATTTGTCCTCCCCGCACACCACCGATCAGCACGGTTCCCTATGCACGGTGCGGTGAAAAAAAATGTACACACACAGTGGGCCCTACCTGGTAAGATGAAAGTCATTAAGTTGTAGTTAGCCTCGGTGCGCGGATCTTCCCACTCTACACACACCTGGCCACCTCCACCTTTCACGCACGCGTTGTTTAAAGCCAGACACAATGTACCCCCCTCCCCTACTCCGCGTGTGCGTGTGTGTAGCGCAAGGAGGGGGTTGCCATCTTCTTCGCAGCAGACGGCACACGCCACACCGGGGACAGACGACCAGCACGGTCAAAACTGAAAATTCTACAAAATGGGAAGAAAAAGAATTCCATCGGCTGCCCCAAATTGTTTTGCAGGAATTGCACAAAAGTCTTACTGTGAAAAGACAACAAGCACCATGTAGATTGGATCTTTGCAGATGTGACCTATATATATGTATATTTTTTAATGCTCAAAAAATGTGAAAAACCTCCGGTTGCCATGCCATCTTTTGTGTTTTTGCGATGCGCCTCATTGGGTATCGGCGGCTGCTGCCATTTGTGGTCTCAACGGGGGGGGGGGGGGGGGGGGAGTGGATTGAGAGGCAACCGCGGCAAACGTTCGTCTCTGTCAGCCGAACAACGGAAACAACACCACCACCACCACCCGGGCACAAAGCGACAGGGCCACTGCTTGCGCCTAAAAAGGTGCGGCCCCAGGATTCGCTTTTGCTTGCACCAGTGCTAGGCCAGAAGCCCCCTTCCCCCCCCCGCCCATGGGACAGAGGGAGCTCTAGAAAATGCGGCTCTCTCTCAAGAGGACGCTTGGCCTACTCTTCCACGCTGGCCAGACGTGTTTGGGAGACGCGGGATTCCCAACCTGTTACCCCACCACACGTGATCGTTCCAATAACGTTCATGCTGCCGGGGGGGGGGGGGCGGAGGGGATTTAAGAGACTCTCCGCACGAGGCCTTTCCGCTGCCGCACCAGGCGATCGAACCGGCGAACTCTGGAATTGCGAGTCCACGAATGCGCTTACTGTGACTCAGCGAGGACACACGCACCTTCCAAGACGGCAGATAGTGGCCCCTGTGCCCGTACTAGACGTCCGTGTGTAAAGAGCTTCATACCTCTTCAGATTCCTCCTGCAGTCTCAATAAAATATTCCGATTCTGAGATAGGACTCCACGATAGCCGATTCTCACCTGCGCGATACGATGCACCTACCCCCGAGCATTAAGAATCGGTTTAAATCAAAGAATGGATGCATGGTTATCGGCCAAGCTGGTTCGCAGATTCGCAAAAAATGACAGGAAATATTCTATTTGTAAATGTAAAAATTCGCCAAATATAGGTAACGGATGAATTTTCATGTATCTAGAGATGAGAACAAGGCATCTTTACAATTATTCATGCTTCATTTGAGTTTTTGTTGTTTAATGCCCGAATGCTCATATGGCAAGACTGACACACCCAATGTTCCCAGGTTTCCATTGTTACTGCGTCATTCGGTTTCAAGAGTGATGCAAAATATCTACGAGCCAGACGCTGGATAAAAAAAAAAAAATAATAAATATGAGATGGCACAAATGCCACCGACCACGTCAATAAAAAAAAAACATTTGAGTTAATATGCCCACATCAATCCACTGCTGGATGCAGGCCTGCCTACTACGGCAACGCTTTTAATAACGCACATGCGTTACTATGAGCATTGAAGTGTTGTCAAGCAGCGCT